GGACATCCACCCGTATCAGTAACAACCTTAACCCCCCCTTTCCCACCTCCCTCCTCACCCACCCCCCTACGGGACACCCCTTCACTCCCTATTGTACTGAAAAGGGGACAAGGCTAGCCTTGCCCTAGCAAGACAACGCCCAGACAGACTGATGACACTGAGGTCGGACACGAGAGGACTACACACCGGCTGAACAGACATGGGCACTGGGACACAAACGGGACCTGACACAACGTAAGCAGACTTGATACATAGCTTTACTACCACATGATTTGTTGAGGGCGACCGATAACACCCCACTAATGAGCACTTGACACTGCACGCTCCGCAGAATACTGAGGTTAGACATGTACGGGGTGGAATCCTGGCAATCCCACATGGACAGAGCTTACCTAAAGGCTGATCTGACACTAGAAACCAGGGTGATACCCTATCCAAAATGAGACGGGAGCAATACCGACGACTAGGGGGAGGTAGACCACATGGCATCACCCACGGATTTATGGCACTGGGACCAGAAAATACATCACCCGAGTCGCGCTTTAACTAAGCATGACAGAATAAACGATCCTAGTTACCAGGTGAGGTGCTACCTCACTACACTATGTATACAAACAGAGTACATATGCTCACTCTTGCTAACCACGGAACTATGTATGTTACATGTACAATGTATTATTGTAGTTATCCTGAAAAATTCAATAAATATTGATTGACAAAGAAATAGATGACATAGTATACACTGTGAAATCTGCATTGAATTGATTTGTTCAGATATTGTAAGTATACAATTAAATCTACACTTTTTTTAACATTAAGATGGTAGAGGAACACAGTTCAAGGTAAATACAACGTAAGGGTAGAATGTAAACAGGCTGTATGCACTATAGAAAAGTAGCGGAAGGTGAAAGAAGACTCCCAGAGGCACCCCAGTCAAGTAAGCAAAGAGTCCCACAGAAAAATAAAAATAAGAGTCCCATCAACGTTTGGTGCAGGCATTGGCTTTTTTAAAGTAAATTCAAGTGCATATATTTAAAGGTAATGCTTCAATGAATTTCAACAAACAAAATGAGGATATGGCTTACTAACTGAATTGCACTCACAAGAGTAATATATGTTTTATGCTTGTAGCTAGCTGCCTGATCCCGTTGTAGTTCTTATTAGAAAGGAGAAACAAGGTGCCTAAGAAGTATTGGGAGCAAAACACCAAGACCCCCAGGATAACAATTATTAGGAGTTAATAAACTGAAGTGATTTTACACTATTATTACTTACTCACTATAAATAGTAATGCTATTTATTTATTTTTTTTCTTTAGAATTAAGCAGTATCCCCATTTTGTTGGTTGAAATACGTGTTGTTGAATACGAAACTGCAAAAGAAAGGTCTTGGGGTGTTTGCCGCATTCTTAAAACCATCAAGAGAATTAAAAGTTAATTATTACCATTATAACAGTTTATATACTTTTTGGGACAGTTAACATTGGTGAGATATTGTTTTGTATAAATTACCCTGCTGGAACTAATAAATTGAGACTGTACTGCAGGGCTTAAAATTAAGTTATATGCTACTAGCCAGGCCTTCAAAGCTATCTGCCATTGCAAGCTTGAAGAGTCCATGGTGAAATTCTCTGTGCCAGGGGTTAGTTTTCCCTTGCCAATGGCTAGTGGCCAATGTAATTTCTGAGCCCTTTTGTAGTTGATGTCCTTAATAGCTCTCCAGCAAATGTGGTAGGGTTTAATTAAAGTTTTGTAGATTAATAGGAATATATAAAAGAAATGTAACATGGAGGATGTTAGATAAATAAAATGATATGGTGGAGGCAAAACTGTTATCAATAAAAAAAAAAAAAGCTATTAATATTTTAAATAAACACACTTTATTCTACACACTTTGTACATGTCAAAAATACAATTGCTAGATTTTTCTTTTTAATAGCAATTCTTGGGAAAAGTTGTATTAATTCAATGATGTAGAGTAAAAATAAAGGGCATTGTTATTTTGTAATTGGATTAACATACCTTTAGCATGATAGGCTTTGAGTAGTTTCTTCAATAATCAGGTCATTATAAATTGTATTAGTGCAGGCAGTTGGTTGTATTGATACACCCAGACTAGTCAGAGAACTCCATTATATGTAGATTCGGTAGGAACGAACAAGGACTAGACTGAAGATAGGCTCAAAAGTGTGTGAAACTCTCTCTCCAGGGAATCTGGTCACTGGAGACAACAATTTATTTCCAATCAATCAATCAATCAAGAGGAACCTATATTATGTAGCAATTGGCTTAACTGTGAGATTTTCTCTAAACCCATTACATTTAACGCAAACATTAGTAACTCAATCAGTGAAGGATGTGAAGATTAGTTAAGAGGATAAAAGCTTGTCAATTCTTAACTATCACTAACATAGGACAATGGAAAGTAAAGTTCCAGACTCTTACAATATAATCAAAATTCAAAACTGGCAACTTTAAATGTTGAATTGAAAATGTGGAATAAAATATTTTATTTGTAATTATTTATCAGCACTGCTATATTCACAGATTGTCAATTTTTGCTTGAAGGGTGCTATATAAGGTACTTCAGTTTTCAATACACTTTATGTTAAATAAAACAAATAATGCACTATCAAGATTCTGAAACATAAAAATAAAAAATAGCTTTATATTCACCTAACCCCATGTTTCAACTTTAAGTTGAGAGACAAATTGTGATGCTCTTTGCTGGGATTTGGCTACTCAGGAATATTTACTAAGTAAGGAAAGTTTGGTATGAAAACTATTGTCTTGCTGTGTAGAGCCTTAATGTCAACCTGGTACACAGGACAAGAGGAACAACATTAAATATTTATCACACCCCCTCTTTAATTTACAATTTCTCTAATTCACAAAGGAACTCTTAATGACCAAATTTGCAACTGTGCATAGCAACAAGATTGTTTTTCCAAGTTACTAACTGATCCATGATATGAGCACTTATCAAAACACCTACAACATGCTAACCCCACGTCTCTGTAACAGGAGATCTATTGTAAGTAGGAACACTATGAGGGGCAATGCAGCCAGTACCACAGTAAGGGGCCTATCTCCCAAAATGACCCAAGCTTATAAATCAGCTTCAGTTTGTTTTTATATTATCACTATCAATGACTTTGTCCTGGTTGTGTACACAGTCTCTCACTGCTGCAGTGATTGATTTTGGGAATGCGCCTCAGTGATACATCATCATAGGTGTGAGCAGAGAGTATACCAGGCTCACCCTAATGCAGAGCTTAATTGTCCACCCGTTGACTAATTTAGGGACCCTGTTGCGCTGGTATAGCAGTCTGAAATATTCTCATTTCAAGTTTAGGATTTTTATATTTTACCAGGAAGAATACATATAAATTAGATTTGTTATTATGTAAATAACCAGATTAACAAAATTATGTATTTCCCAATATGAAATGATAAATGTTGAAATGGTAATGAAAAATATAGTTTAGCTTGTTTGATAGGTGCAGATGACCTTCTCACCTGGTAGACTGCAATCTGTCCTGGAATAGTTTACTGGACAACTCATATAGCATTAGGTATGGTCAAATGCGAAAGTAGCAATTTTACCTTTTGAATATCTTCTACAAAGGTAAAAATAAAAAGATCTCATATTACTTTTTAAGGAGTAACTTTGTACGCATATAATTTCATCTATACATTTTAATAGAAAATAAATATTTGGTTGATGTCAGCAAAGTATATAGTTTAATCAATACATGCACTTTGATATTCACACACTAAACTGCAACATATATAATATACCAATAACATTCAATTCATGGAGTATAAATAATACTTGTTACATGATATGTTTCAAACTTCTAACTCGGCAACGCACTGCCACATTCCTCTCCTTTGTAGGTTGGGAAAGGAAGTGAAGACGCTCCAACTCCCCAGCTCCTCTCCGGACACATTATTATATAATGGGAGACTAAATTCATAATGGGAGCTACAAATAGCAGTTGCTACTTGGGAGTGTAACTCCCACCAAAAATATCCACATACGGTCTTAAGGTTTTAAGAAATACTGACCATAGCATTAACCCTAAAATTAAATCATGCAAGGTTAAATATCTAAAATGGTGATGCATGTATTTTGGGAATAACATCTTGGATTCTGGAGACATTCATGAGCCACTCAACCTTCCATCTTGTGGTATAATAGGTCTCCAGAATTCCTTTATGTCATTATTTTCCTATGATGAATTCTTTCATGTTATGTATTCTCTCTCTATATATTGTTGTGTAGACTGCTATGTTAGGGTGTCTCATATTTATTTATTTTTATAACAAAGTGCTCCAGCAAATACTTCTAATCTCGAATGTTCACTTAAATCAAAATCCAAACTAAACATGTACTATTAGAAATATATGAAAATAAATTGCACTTCATGGCATAAGAAGCACTTCACAGGGTACATATACCACCGGTTGAAAAAATCTGCACAAGATCATTAATCTAAAATCTGAAGAATATTTGTATAAAATGTATTTTTGCTCACAACGTTAATATGAATTTATTCTGTAGAATGCTTTCTTAGTTGAATAAAATGGTCTATCTGTTCCTTTATTGGTTAAATGAAATATGCTGAATTGAGAAGTTACATTTACTGATGAATTTTAAACTATAAAATGAGTCATATGACATTCTTACAGTTAATCACTGAAAAACTTTGGAATATTAACAAGGATAATTTAAATTTAATGTTAGAACAACAGATTTGAAGAAAACAAACCCAAAACCCTCAAAAAGTTATTTTGCCATCTCAGATGACCTTATCTAAAATTATTTAATGATGGGGGAGGTTAGTAGGGAGTCTAGGGTTCTGTAGTATATTTTACACTGAAACTAAAGACCATTTTGAATCAATACCCAAGACTTCAATACTAATACATCTGATACCATCACCATGATTACATACACATTTTCTTAATAAGATGTTTTAACATGTGTAGTGTTGTTGAGGACCTCACTAGTAAAATTTATTAACCTCCAATGTACACAATAGTCTTCTGCATACAAACTGATGCTAAAGACAAATGCAAATGTCATCAAAGTGCCTTTTATTAGGGTAAAAACCTACATGCTAAATGAACTCACGGACAGTACATTTTTACATGCAGTAATAAAAACACAAAAGGCCTTTTCTGTACAGCTATGTGTCCCTTTTTATCAGAGTCTGAATTCCTGATTAAATCATTATCCATGTCCCTGTGTCATTACCATACATACTAATGCACACAATGTGCCAGGCAGGCGCCTGCATATACATAACAAACAGCAATCCTTCCACTCCAGCAACACAGACCGGCTCACGTGCTGCTGCTCTCACTCTCCGCCCCGTCTCAGGTATCCTTCCGACTTCCCGTAAATAGTCCTTGTCAGACACCGCCCCCTCAGCTATACCTGGACCCTCAGCTCGGCGACCTCTGTATTTCTGAGAAGTGCTAACATTGATTGTGTGTCGGCCCTTGTCCTCCCGGAGCTGTGTGTGGTGGAGAGGCCAGGTAGGGCACGAGGTTGGCGGATATAGGACCGGTGGCTGGTCGGCAGTATCGCTCCGCGGACCCCATCTCCTCAGACTGTTTTGGTCTTTGCTCGCCTGTGGCAACAGCGGACACTTCACTCGCTCTCCCCCCGGCCTCCCAGAGCACTCCCAGCCCCCGGCTGCCGCTCGGTACCAGGCCCAGAGCTGTGTACTTGGCGTTTTAGAAGAGAAGAAGCGAATACCTTGTTTTGAATTCATTTTTAAATTCTTAGAGAGAAGTCTCTATATATTATTTTTTTTCCCCTTCATTTTTTTTTTAATTATTGGGTTCGTCAGTGGCTGTGAATTGCGGTGGTTTATGGGACCGTCATGTCCATGAAGCAGGCCGGTAATAACCGAAAGCCCAGTGGGGGCAGCGTCCCGGCGGCTGGAGGAGGTAGACAGAGCATGGGCAGGTGAGTGATGGTACCCCAGGTGTGGGGGCAGCCATGTTATAGTATCATATTGTGGGGAACGGGCTCTTTGTATGGGGAGGGCTGGGGGGGGGTTCACCTTCAGGGGCTGTCAGGGCCTGCTGCTCTCAGATCGGACAGTGAGGCCTGCAGGGCTCGAGTAATGCCGCATCCGGCCTGCTGACCTCCTGTTACCTTCCGCTAGCCTGGTTCAATACATAGCTTAGCCCTTCCTACACAGCCTGTACACGGGCTGGGTCTGCCCTGGGCTGGAATCCTCAGCGTTCTTATTGTGGTAACATTGTTACAGTGCTTAGAACGTTCAGTTACCCGGTGACACCTTACTGACAGTCCACACACTGCTCCATACAGCGCATGCCTGGGGCTGGGCTCGCTCACTGCTGGGCCTAGGTCACTGATGGCTCACCTTTGGCACTCCAGCTGCTGTGGACTACGTTTCCCATAGGGCTCAGTCAGTCCAGGACGGCCGAGCAATTCAGGGAAGGGTAGTGCACAGCAGCTGGACACCAGCAGGTGATTACTTATAACTTCCTCAGCATATTAGGAGGGATGTCATTGCCGTGCTAGTGGGCTATAAATTGGACGTTTGTGTGTATATGATGGTGGGCCTATGTACCGTGTATCTAGGGAAGCTTCCTGGTGTCTGTAATGAAAGGTTCAGCAGGGAAGAGTGAAGCACTGATTGAGCAGATTGTGTGTGTGTGACATCCATGAGATCAGTGTCCTTTTAACCATGTGGACATGGTGGTGCCATTCAAACGCATATAGCTGAATTCTTTACAAGGCATGTGTTTAAGGAAAGATGCTGAAGTCAATGATCGGTTAACTTGTTGCTGGCCATAAATCACTTCTACATGATGTCTTCCGTTTCTGAGTGTTGGACCTCTGTCTCTCGTTATCTGCAATATGGGCTCTGTGCGGGGCTGCTTCCTCCTGGCACACGAGCGGTTAATCCGCAGTGCTCGCCAATAGCAGACAGGGCGTTTATGCCGGCTGCGCATTTTTATGCTTCTGTGTTGCTTCCTGAAATCCTCCAATCCAGTCTTTTTCACCATTAGCCCTGCCATGGATTGTATCAACGTTTACTGGATCTAAGGTTAATAAAACCGGATTGTTGGGGTAATCGGGGTAGATTATGACTATCTTTATCATAACATGTTCATAGGGTAAAAAACCATGGTCGATTAGTCATTCAATAGAAATCTATGTGACTTGTAATAAATGGCTTTTTACTTGGGCTCTATGACCTTTTTGGTTAACAGCATAGCGACCATTTTCATTATTGCTGTTATTACAGAAGAATGCTGACATTCTAACAAAGCTACCGGGTTCTGTCCGATCTCTGGATAGTTTGTGCATATTTGTAACATATTTTGGTGTATTTTATAATGGCAGCTGCGTTGCCTGCTTGATGTCCTGTCTCATATTATGAGCGTGCATGACTTCAGTACACAGCACAGTATATTTTCATTACCCTGCAATATGGCTGGGTTTTGACAAGAAGACTGTGCTCTTTACAGCAGTGCATGTGAAATTGCATTATCTCTTGTGAACCTAGAATGTGAATTAAGGCATTGTACTTGGGGTAAATGTATTTCCATGCAGGGGTATTTTTTTTTTTTTAAATTTTTTTTTTGTTTTGTAAATATTATAACCAATCTAACCTAGAGCTGCACATTTAAATGTGATTTGATATATTTTTTGCAAGAATTCATCTGGCCGTATCATGCAAACGCATTGTCTGGGTTATTCACTAAACTGTAACATGTCGTGGGAATATAACATTTTAGGCCAAAACTATTCAGGTCAGCTATCTCCCCGCCCCTTTTGAACCCCAAACTTAAATTTTCCAACAATTCCTGGTTTAGTGAATGATACTATTTTGTAGCAATAATATAAATAACTATTTTAGATATGTGAATATGCATTTTGAAATGACTGGAGGACATAAGTATCACTGCACTTTTCTTTACCTGGGCCATTGCTTACTGTCAGTATACAACAGGAAGTGACAAGTGCAAAGGAAAATTTTCTTCCACCTTTCTGATGACGTGTTTAGTTTTAATTGACTCAGATTCTTTTAAATTGCTAGCAAAACCAAAAGAATAGGTTTTTGTTTTTGTTTTGTTTTATTTTTCATTTACATTCTGATGTTGGTAACAGTGTATGTTTGTTCTCACCTTATACATTTAGTCAGGGATAGTCGACCTTTGGCACTCCAGATGTTGTGGACTGTATCTCCTCTGATGCTTTGTCAGCATTATGGCTGTAAAAGCATTTCTAGGACATGTAGTCCAGAACACCTGGAGTGCTGAAGGTGAACTACCACATCATTGGCTTATCCTATATAACTGATATAGTGCACCTCTTTCAACATAAGGTCCATTTTCAAGCTTCCCTCAATAAAATCAACTATAGGTTTAATGGCACACCTGCAATGTCTAAAGATTTTTATCATATAATTTGATGTGGCAGTCTATAAAAGTTGCCTTTCATTTAGCAGTTGCAGCATTTGGAAGATATGCCCACAGTTAGAACATGTAAACCCAGTTTAGTTTCACTGTACTGTTTAATTTTTTTAATATTGCTGTTTTTTTACAATTTTATTTTGTATACGTAAGAAACGAACAAGCATTCGTTGGCAAAGCATACACAAGATGTAAATCAATATTGCTAAATACAGACTAATAAATTCATGGCATGTAGCGGAGTTAAGGGATATGTCAGACAGTAATTGTTTGATCATCCTTCGTTTGCTACAGACTTGCATACATCACTTTGCCTTTATTTTGCTTTATAAACATGGCATGTTCCCACATGCTTGAAGCAATATTTTGCATGTATAGTAAGACCCTTTCAAAATGTACACAGGCAATCTAATCTGTGTTGCCTCATTTTATTTTTTTTCATAACTTAAACACAATGTGTGTGTGTGTATAATAGCATTTTTAAGGGACTAAACCTTCTTCACCAGAACCATATTATCATAATAATAATTTATATAACACCAAGTTATTCTGCAGCACTTTACAATAATGTGGAATTTATAGAATGATATAGGGACAATAGGTAGATGAGGACCCTGCTCAGATTATCTTACAGTCTAGAGGATTTCTATTATATACTTACATGGCATTGACTACTTTAGTACATTCATATTTGTCCTGACTACACAGGACTGGGCATTTACTGTAGGCCACCTGCCATTGATAAGGAAGAAAATCTGTTTGAGAATTTTATATCTGTATACCTAATCGTGGTTAAGCTAGCATTTATTCTTGTCCTGTAAACTTTAGTGGCTTCCTGATGCCTCAGTGTATACATACCCAAATGATATGGCTTAAAAAAAAAGGTTTTTACTCGGTTACATATTTTAGCAAATCAGGATACCACATCGGAGCTCCATTTCACTAATTATGTTTCTGGGATATTATTGTCAATCCCTGAACTTCCATTTAAGCAATTGTGAGCTGTGGATGTGCAAACCACTCATTTAACTTATAATGAGGAAACAATTATTCACAGTAGCACGCATATAGATGCTTTTGATATCCCACAAATTTCAGGTTTCTCAGGTTTTTGTAGGTACGCTCTAACTTCAAATGGAAACCATCTTTAAAAGAAAATTTGAATATTGATTAATATAGCATTAATATAGTTAAATTTGACTTTTTCAACATGTTTTACTTTTGGCGTACATTTATAACAAAATACAGATTGTGGGCATTTCTTCTTTAGTTCAATAGCCTTTCGATTACAAAAGCGTGTTGTAAAAGTGGTTTGCAATAAACCTATTTGATATAGGAACATGTTTCTTGCAAACCACTTTTACTATATGCTTTTTAACAATCTTAGTCTATCCCAGGGGTTGACAACCTTTGGTAGTTGTGGACTACATTTCCCATGTTGCTTTGTCAGCATTATGGGAGAGCTAGTTCATAATACCTGGATTGCTATACATGTTGTTGTTGTTCTAATACCCACTTTAACATTTCTATTCAATCAGAAATATTACATATTTGTAACATAGAGCTAAAGCTATGCAACCTGGTGTTGCCCATCAGTTGCTAAACTGACTTGCAAAAGGTACGTTTCTTTGCCAGTTAAGGGAATGGAGAGTAACTGGTTGATAGTATACACTGACCACTCTCAACCAATCAGCGGTGCCCCCTGCCCAGCTGCACTCCGAGCTCCCAGAGTCTAAAGTCAGAAGCAGCCAGGCGAGGGGAGGAGTGGAGACCAGCTCTGGAGGCAACATAAGGGTTAAACCACTTGATAACTGTTTTGTTGCTTGAGATAAGACTGCCTACAGGTGCCTCCTGGTACCAAAACAATTTACCTTTTTTTGGTGCCTGGAGAGCTCTTTTTAAGAGGATAGCGTTACGACCTGGCCATGCATCAGAGTTCATATGGGTCTTCATAGTATGCAGGATATTAAAGGGAATTTAATCCCACAGTTTAACTGAGGTGAATCTTTTCATACCATATTTTAAAACATTTGTTTAAGCAGAGCAGTCCCCTGCTCTTCTGGGTCTTGTGACTTTTCCTCTAAGTATAAACTGTGCGAACAAATATAACTTGGATATTTCTAATGAACCATATCTCACTCATAACTTGACATAAAGAAGTACAAACTATCCAGTCTGTAGTCCGTCACAAAATTTTTTTTGATGGTCTGCATCTGTTTACGCAGTGATGGTTGATCAGACACAAAACCAACATATTTTACTTTTAAACTAATGGATAAGCTTTTCAAATCCTTTAATATTTTTCAACAATCTTGTAGCGAGGCCTTAATATACTATTCTGTCAAACATAATGGGTGGCTAACTCATGGGGAGGTCCAGAAATTAAGTTTATATAATTGTGCGGGGAATTCTAAGTTTTTTGAGAATACCTTTTTTAATATAATTTCTCTTTATATGTTTTAGGGGACGTAGCAGTGGCAAAGGGCCTCTTCAATCCGTAAGTACACAATTTAATTCATTTAACTACTTTGCAAAATTATGACTGTTCTATTATTTATACATTGTACTATCTAGTTGGAATACAAATGTATTGATTTGTAAATTAAAATCTTATTCTACTTATAGGAACACTATATAGTCACAAAAACAATATTGGCTTAATCAAGCCGTTATGATGTACATATTATGCTCTTGCAGTCTCACTGCTCAATCCTCTGCTGTTTAGGCGTTAAATCACTTTGTTTATGCAGGCCTAGTTGCACCTCCGTGCATAGTCTTCCTATACACTTCCTGTAAAGACAGATCTAGTGTTTATACTTGGCTTACTGCACAGTATGTCTAATTTAGAATTTATCCCTTGCACTGTTAATAACTTGCTAGACCTTGCAGGGGTCTCCTGTGTGTGATTTTAAAGTTCAATTTAAGTTGTGTGAGGGGAGAGGAGGAGGTGTGGCTAGGGCTGCATAAACGGCAACAGACGTGATTGAACTCCTAAATGGCAAAGATTTGAGCAGTGAAACTGCAGGTGCATGATCTATACAACAAAACTGATTAATTAAAAGGACACTATAGTCACCAGAACAACTACAGCTTGATGAACAAGAGAACAAGCAGCGTTTTATATTGCTGCCAATATACTCTCTAGTGGCCGTCACTCAGATGGCCATTACAGGGGATTCCTGGGTCAGTGCTGCACAATGAGTAGCACTGACATTTGGCGTCTCCGCTCGTTACATGGAGGCGCTGAACGTTTACCATAGAGATGCATCTCTGAGGAGATGCTGATTGGAGTAGCATTTTGCCGCGTATGTGCAATAGCCTCTCAATGCTTTCCTATGGGAATGCATTGGATTGGCTGAGATTGTCAATTCTGGTGATGTCAGCCAAGGGGGTGGAGCATAGGTAAGGCCAGCCACGACAGACCCACACAGCGCTGGAGTAAAATATGCTTTTACTTAGTTGACAGTGGACATAAATTGTTTTCATAACTATAGTGACCAGAATACATTTTTGTATTCCTGTCACTACAGTGTTCTCTTTAGCTAAAGTTGTCCTGTTGACTACGATCCCTTTAATTCCACTCTACCAGGCTTAAACACCAAAGTTCTGTGTGCCTGTTTTGACACCTTGGGTGCTATTTAGTGCATCGATTCTCTTCCTGCACTTTTTTTAAACCAATAACTTGTATGCCTGGGGAACAATCCTTATGAATGTCTCTGTGGCGTGTCAGGTATTTAATCCAATTTTGACATGCACGTAAACCAGGAAGTGACTGAGAAACGTTTATAAAATACATGATCATCCACAGAATTAACGATTTGCAGTTCTTTTTGTGTCCTCCCCTCCCCCAACTTTTTCCATTATCATATTCTGCTTTTGTGTGTTCCTTTGCACACACAAAATCTTGATTAATTACAGGATTCCCCTATATTTTCTTCTATGAACGTTTAATATCTTGCTTTTACTAAAGCTCACCAAAAGATTTCTTTGGCACTTGAGGACATTTTTAAGGAATCCATTTGCTAAGCACAAAGCGTGTATTGTAGTAATTTAAAGTCAGGAATGTGTGTGCATTGCAGTGCTACAGAAGGCTGGATTTGATAAATGGGAGATCTTTTGATTTTATTTTCCATTTTAGTTTATTTTCTACTACTTTATTTTACAGCACAATACATCCAAAACCAGTTATTGAATTGAAATATACAAGCTTTATTTACATGTGCTTCAGATGGTGTTCTAATTGCAGCCTGTTTTTATATATCCTATAAAATGTAACGTTTATCCTGGTTTTTATTTATTTGAAAGTATAGTTAAACGAATTATAGTTTAACAAAGAATTGCTGCATTTATGCTAAAATGTCTACAGCTGATCCTAATAATTTTTCCATGTGGTGGTTTTGTGCTTATTAAAGAGCCTGTCCCTTTCTGATCCTTACAACCTCTATATTTTAAACATTTTGGACATGAGTAAAACTGGGTACTTCTGGTTGAACAGGGCACATCTTAACCGCAAGTGCTGAAACTCAATGTATAAATGTATGTTTGTGAGGTTTTTCTTTTTAATCTAGACCCCCAACCCACTGTGGAGTCATAATACTACCAAAAAGTTAAATAGTGTCTGGATAACTAAAACTTAAATTCATTTCTTAACCACTACACGCCTTTCACACTTTATAAGGCATTTAATCTAAGATTTTACATATCTATTTAACAGACATGAAGGAAGGGGCGGTGCTTTTTTAAATTATGAAAAATCAAAACTGTTGCAAACTTGGGTTCATATCTTTTAACCATTTTTCAATGTCTTCATGAAATGTGAAACTCCTGCTGAAATCTGTGGTAACCTGTATCTATCTGGTTTTTATTGTTGTAATCTAAAAACAAGCACCTCTACATGTCTGAGATGAGATCTAAAATCTTGTAGTTACACTTCTCATTAAAGGGACAGTATAGGAATCATAAAAACTTAATCTAAATGGTGCCTTAAGGTTTAACCTCAGTCTCCTCCAACGCCGAACTCCGCTCTCCCCAGGCAGCATCCAGCTTCTGAAATTTGTTTCAGAGCGCGGTGCTGCTGATTGGCTGAGAGCGGTCAGCTGATACACTCAGTTAATTTGACTCCCCATCCACACAACTGGCTTGGAAAAGGTATGTTTCTTTCCAAGCCAGTTTTGTAAATAGTGAGTTACTGTTTGGTTAAGAGCCCTTTGAGTGCACCTGTGGGCCTCCTGGCACCATAACATAATTTAGATGAAGTTGTCATGGTGCCTGGAGTGTTCCTGTTATGTACCTGTAGGAGTAGAGGTGGACGGCCTCCCTGTTGTGGAATAAGGAACCCCATTGAAAACATGGAGTAAGGCAAAGGAGGTAATGTTTCAGTGTGTGTAATATATATTCACTGTTTTTCTTATGCCTTTTCTGTTTGTGCCTATTCATTCACTTATTTGCACCACAATTTTCCTTACTGTGACTCTTGAGTCATTTTAATTTCCTGATCCATTTTGTTTTGTGTGCCCCCCATTTATAAAAAAAATAAAAAAGCATTCCAAAAGTGCAAAAGAAAAAAATCACCTGTTTTTGTTTTGTTTTTTTTCTCTTGCCACTGTCAGTGGCAGGTTTTCTGTGACAATTCTTCCTTTTTTTTTTTTTTATTTTTTTTTATTTAAAGGGTTGTGCCAACCAAGAACAGCGTTTTAACAGTAAACCTGCACCACACAGCCTCCCTTTCTGAAAATGTTAACATTTTATAGCTTCTCTTACTGAGTAATATGTTTAAGAATTTCACCTGCTCTTCTAATTGCCTGCTAAGAGCCTCCTTTGTATCTGTTAATTGAACTCTAATCACACAGAGAACTTCTAGAAAAAACACTTTGTGTAAGCTCTGATTTGAAACTCCCTCCTCCATACACACAAAATGAGTATTGTAAAGTTAAAATAGTTGAAGAAATAAACGCATTGACTGTGCTGCGTTATACTAAAATGCTAACTCAGTCAAAAGATGTACTAAGAAAAAGTAGGGACTACTTTGTCGTAGTACTTTTCCTATGCTTGACAAAAGGTAGAGCCACCATTTGTCAAGCCCTCAGTCATCACTATTGAAAGATTGTGTCTTCGGAGGATCTTGTGGTTTTGAGAGTTCCTCCATAGACTTGTGTTGTTGTACTCTCGCTCATGAACGAAAGTACTACAACAACGCTGATGCTGGTTCATGTCAACCAAAGGGTCAGTTGCTGAAGAGAAATGGCGGAAGCCACGAGGGACAGATTCTTCTGCTCGCCTCGGCCACCGTACTGCCAGCAGAGCATTTGCCATAAGGGAGTGGGGTGTCTTTGCAAATTATGTGATGACCCCAAGTATTAGCAGTCCTTTTAAGGAATAAAAATAATCCTTTAGCCCCTTTCCCCCAAGCAATCATTTTGGGGAGTGCGAAGAGTAACAATCTAAAAGAGTAATAAAAATTGTTAGAAATGTCTTAGAGTGCTCAAGCAGGGTTGGGTGGAGCCACCATTGTTTGAAGGGTTGTGTAAAAGCTTTATAATTAATAAAATGGTGCAAATGGGAAAATCAATGCATTTTTTTTTTTGTTCCCTCTCCTTTAATGGCTTTGAGCCTACATATGCTAAAAGTTTGTTTGAAGAGGGCAAAAATATTCTGTCGATCAGTGAACGTTGTTAGGTTTAACTTTGTGTTTCCAACTCTTTTAGATTTCATTTGATGGGATCTATGCAAACATGCGGCTGGTCCATGTTCTAACGTCAGTAGTTGTAAGTTCTCTATTTGTGTGTCTTTTCTCATTTAATTGTTGCATGCAAATTCACGTCTTCTATTCTCGTATATCAGCCTGCATTTAATACAGCGTTATCCTTAAGGACTGTGAACAGCAAGTAACATCTTTACTATTCTAGTGACACTCTTGCATCTGAAGTAGTTAAGGTACTTCGAGTACAGTCTCTGGAATTTTTAAAACTGAGCAAAGTCTTTAAATACCAGCAATCATATACAAACTCATTGAGTTGTGTGCAAGTTTAAAAGTATAGCTGCCGAGGAGCCCAACACTGGAGAAAGGTGAGTGTTTAACCCCCTTCCGGCGGGAGGGGAGCCATGAGGGTGGGGGCACCCTCAGGGCACTATAGTTCCAGAAAAACAAACTTGTTTTCCTGGAACTATAGTTAAACACTCACCTTTCTCCAGTGCTGGGCTCCCTCGGCGCTGGGGACTCGCCTCCTCCTTTGGCCGTCATCGGCTGAATGCGCGTGCGCGGCAAGAGCCTCGCGCATTTTCAGTCAATCCATAGGAAAGCATTCTCAATGCTTTCCTATGGACGCTGACGTCTTCTCACTGTGAAAATCACAGTGAGAAGCCTGGAAGCGCCTCTAGCGGCTGTCAATGAGACAGCCACTAGAGGCTGGATTAACCCATATGTAAACATAGCGGTTTCTCTGAAACTGCTATATTTACAGCAGGCAGGGTTAACCCTAGAGGGACCTGGCACCCTGACCACTTCATTAAGCTGAAGTGGTCTGGGTGCCTATAATGGTCCTTTTAATGATAGAATGTGTAGGTGAAGAGCTAGATTTTTGTCTGCAATATTTAAAGGATTTTCACAGTGAGAAGCACGCAAGCGCCTCTAGGGGCTGTCAATGAGACAGCCGCTAGAGGCTTTGGGGGAAGGCTTAACCCATTGATAAACATAGCAGTTTCTCTGAAACTGCTATGTTTATAAAACAATGGGTTAACCCTAGAAGGACCTGGCACCCAGACCACTTCATTAAGCTGAAGTGGTCTGGGTGCCTAGAGTGGTCCTTTAAGGGTGTAACTTTACAGAGATGGTACCCTGGAACTATAACTACTTTGCCGTAGTGGTTATGGGCCATAGCATGTCCACTTTTTTGCAAGGAATGGATTTATTGTGTGTGTGTGTGTGTGTGTGTGTGCGCTCTCTTTGGATGTGTAAATATAAAAATTTTAAAGGGGTACCATAACCATTATAGCCTGCTGTACTTGTTATGGCATTAGATTTTTCTGTCCGCTCTGACAGTTTTCATGTCATTTCTTTGCGGAGTGTCTTTTTGTTGGCTATTAAAGTGTAAACATACGTATGCAAGCAGTGAGGTTTGGATGCATCTCTGTATGCCCATTATTGGGAATGATGGATCAGGAGTGAGAAAAATGTTAAGACGCTTCCAACCCTTATCAAAATTGTTTCTTGATGTGCCTCTGATGACTAGATTGATTGGCCTAATACACACTCCAAAAAGTAGTGTAACTTCATTCAGCTTTACTTAAGGCTGGTACCTTTAAATAATAGGCAGTGCTATTTTCCCTACATGAATCTGTTAAGTTGTTTGGTTGTTCTTACAGTGTTAAATTGATACTATCTTCTATAACTTACCATTTTTTACGTGTGTAGTTGAAAGCAATTTCAAGCAGCGTCATGTGTCTTGGCAGAATGTAAACCATGGTAAAAGATTGAAGTTTTATTTTTGTGTTTCACTTTCGGTTTTAGTTAAAGAATAAGAATCCCTTAACACACAGCTGTAGACTTTCTGATTTTGTCTTTACTTTTCTTGGATGCTGTGTGTATTTGTGCCTAGAATATTATTGTGCAATAACTCTTTTAGCTATCCTCCTATATCTGTATCGTAGTGTTTTTGTTACCTCCTTTTACCACCATCTTAGAAATATGGTTGGAAGTTATGCATCTGACATATTGCCTATTGTTGATTTATTCTGTGGTGTATTTTTTTTTTTTTTTCGTTTACTTTTTGAGTTATATTGCTTTCCTGAAATGTTTCATTTTTCAGGAGACTTTTAATTTTTTAATGCTGGTTATAATTCTAGTCTCAGAATAAAACAAGCATTAGTTTCTGAGCGTATTTTGCCATCTTTCAAGCTTCACCAGAATGGTTTAGTCTGTGGCTTGAAGGAAGTTCATTGTGATTAATTGGTCCCCTAAAAAGGCACTAATCTGTTCTATTACTTGTCTGTGCTGCAGGTAGTGCACATAAAATGTTTTGGTGTTTGTTTTTATTTTTATTTTTTATCAAAAAAGTGAATTTATATGTTAAATGAACACTCCAAGCACTGTAGCAGTGATGTGGCCTCCCAGGGAAAGTAGTCAAACTGGACCGCAGTCACCTCCTGGAAGGTTCTTCTGTTGTATCTTCCAGTGATGCATAGTTCAGATTGCATTTATAAATATATGCAAATTCGCCAAATTGAAAACAAAACCATTCTCTAAGTCGGTTTTGTTTTCAACTTGGTTATTTTTGTGTAAAAGATGAAATTCAAGTGGAATTCATTTCACAAGATACTTAAGCAAATGGCTATTTTTCTGTGGATAATATTGGTCTTGTGTATTCTAAAGCGGCAATATGAACAGTAAGTCATCCTCTGCTTGGGTATTGCAGGTGCCTTAGCTTATGGGTGTAAACGTAAAAAAAGTGTAACATATAAGGTTGTTTTTTTTTATTTTTTTGTGTGTTCTTTCTAGGGTTCAAAATGTGAAGTTCACGTGAAAAATGGCAATGTGTATGAAGGAGTTTTCAAAACTTACAGCCCTAAGGTAAGTCATCTCACTTATTTCCCCCCCCACCCACCCATTTTTTTTTTTTTCAATTGAATGACTACATAAGCTGATTTATCTTGCTTCAAACTGACGAGATGAGTGTTCCATTGTGTGCTTTATAAAAGGGACTTGTGTCATTCACAAAAATGGCACCATTGCATTCGGTCATTGTAATCTGAAATGTTGTGTACTCTACTAATTCTCAGTCTTGTTTTGTAGTGCGATTTGGTGCTTGATGCCGCTCATAAGAAAATATCCGACTCTGTGGGGCCAAAACGTGAAGAAATTGTAGATAGTATATTGTTCAAGTCTTCTGACTTTGTTATGGTGCAATTTAAAGATATGGACATAAATTATGCAAGAAGAGGTAAGAACTGCATTTTATTTTTCGTATTTTTATTGACTGGTTGTATGCAATATAGTTCCATTATTAAATCTAAAGTGTTCTTTACTGTATTTCCCCAATTAACATTTAGTATTGCCACTGCTGATATTTTTGCTAGTTTATTGCAAACAAAGGCTTTATGTAATTTTTATTCAAGCAACACGGAGGTTAAAAGTACATATTTTTAATGTTGGTGTGTTTTTTTAGCTTCAATGTTTGATAAAATCAAGACAAAAAGGCTTAAACACTTGTAACCAGCCGTTGTACAGACTCCACTATGCGCATGGTATTGGGGGCAATAGGACGTACCCTCGGCAGTATCAGTTCTCTTAGATGAGAAACTTTCTTAAAATTTTGCGGTGTCCATGCATGGTGTGAAAAACTTTGGTTTGTGAAGGTTTTCAAAAGGAATACCTATAGTCTATTTTAACCTGTCAGCTGCTAGAGGCGAGTTATTGGCCAGATATAAACACTGTTGATTTATAATTATAAGAACCATATGAGGTTTGTTTTTGTGTTTTATTTTACAAAAAAAAAAATTTGACCTTTTTTATTAATCCAGTAACTCACAGCTTGAAGTACAGATTGGAGAGTAGTTGTGGGGAGGAGCTAACTAAATTTTCTGATGACGGGTAGAACTCTGTTGGACACTGTAGATTAGGAGGGGGCGGGACAGAAAGGGAGCTGTGACATAATGTACTCAAGTACATTAAAGAGACACTAAGCACAACAACTTATTGTAGTGGTTTTTGTACAAAGACTGCATGCATTCTCTGTTGTAAACTCTCCCTTTTGTAAAAAGGCAGTATTTACATTGAGCTATCTTTAGGGACTGTCCATCCCACTGCTACTAGAGGCCCTTGTTGTTGCTTTAACTTTATATTTGCAGTACAATGTATCCTTTTAATCAACAAGCTATTACCCTACATATTGACTATATCCATAAATATTCTGTTTAAAAAGGGAAAAAAATTGTCCAGGTGTTGGTTAAAAAAAAAACTGTACATAATCTGATAAAGCCACCTCTTGATGCAGAGACCACCACCTTCTTAGTGTTTTAAGATAATGCAGTTGCAATTTTTTTCTCTCTCAATTTAGGGCAAAATGTTGATGTGTTAAACCAGGGGTGCCCAAAAGGTTGATCCCTTTGTTTTCAAACCACTTCCATGATGCGTTGTCATTCTAAAGGCACGCAAAGAAGAATGGGGTTTTAGTTCTACAAAATCTGGTGATATAACTTTTGGGCACCCCTGTGTTATACCATAAGGAATGTTAAAAAGATCCTCTCACACTTTGCATACACATTTTTAAAAAGTTCAGTTTCCTAAAAATGTTACAAAATTATTCTCAAAGTAACTTTTCTTAGGGGTTTTGTATGGATTTGTGAATGACATTGCTGTAATATCCATGATACGTCAATTTGTCACCCCCTTATCTGATCTTTCCACATTTTTTTTCCCCTTTTTCTGTAGTTCCTTCAGAATCAGGTAAATTCTGCTTTTTCAACTGGTCACATTGTTGCCTTGCATTACATTTCTTGTTTTATTGAATGGTTCCCCTCTTTCCCCTTAAATTGGCGTTTCACTTGTATGCCCAATTTGCACTCCCCTGTGGAAGTGTAGGGTTTATCTTGCAGATTATGCACAAATTTGTCATTGATTTTTGCATGTTTCACATAATGTTATAGTGAGGTTTTAGCTGCAAAACTAGATATTTTTAAAAAGACACAAACGAGTTAGGTCCATATTACTCTAAAGCAGCAGTTGTCAAAAAAAAACTTGTATATATTAAAAAAATTAAAAAATGTTGGGGTTCAAATTAGTAGGCAAATTCAACCAAAATTTATGGGCATGGAAAAAAGAAACCCTTACACATATAGGTATACAGTACTCCACAAACCAAAAGAGTTAGCATTAACCTTAAACCTCATAAACTGGGCTGAATTGGTTTATTCAATTTAGCATTATTTCTTTTACAGCTCTATTAGTTTTTTAGGTTTCTGAAGTTACTCACCTTTGTTCTTTTTCCATCAGACTGCCATCCATATGCCCTGTATATTTTGACTTGGGCACCCGGTCATAAAGGTTTTGCAAAAGTGTCTAAAATGTATACAGAGATTTTGAGATCTTTTATGGAGTGAGGTTGTGTTTCTCTGCAACAGCAATAATGTAACTGGAGCCAAAAAAGTGATACATTGTGGTTCTCTATATTTTTCTTTTGTAATATATAATTAAGTATATGGTTTTTATCCACGTTTTCCAATCTCTAGACTATATTGCTTCCCGTTTCAATATCAACTGAAGCAAATCATGGTGTCTAACAGACAATATTCTGTTTTTAGTACTTGCTGTAGAACAGGGGTAGGCAACCTTTGGTACTCCAGATGTTGTGGACTACATCGCACCTCAAGCTTTGCAAGCATTCTGGAAGATAATGGAGTGCCTTAGGTTGCTGACTCCTACTGTAGAGCATTTGTCCATAGTCGTGGTCTCCAGGGAAGATCTGCTATCCTTAATTTAAAAGCAATATTGTTTCAAAAGCTATGACCTACAAAAATTCTTGTCAACTTTCATTTTCACATGTGGAGCCAGAGCTAAAATTGTTCATGACAGCAGTTGTTTAATCAGTCTTCTTTTTTACAAAAAAAAAACACTTCCCATTAAAAGCTCTTTACTTTGCCAAATGGCAAATATATCGATCTCTGGAAGTTGGTAGACCCCTTATTTCCTGTTGTTTTGAAATAGATGTTTTTTGTTTTTTTTTAAATGTGTTAATCACCCTTTTCAAGAGAAACCCCTTACACTATGGCTCTCCAGCAAAAAATGTAAAACATGTAATCCCTCCCCATTTTCAGTGTAGTCCGAATCTTATTTAATAAGTGCATGAATGGAATCGATTTTTATTTGCCCTTTCTTTTCAAGTTGTATATAGTGTTTCACCGCTGCCTAGTTTCTGGCTCCTTTTACTTTTTCTGACATGTTCAAAGCCTGGATAGGGATCCCACAAGGATTCAGTCTTGAACCCAGCCAGATATAGGCTTCACAACTTCTTTAAGCTGGGGCAAGTGAGTTGTTGTTCTAGTTTCGAGCTCTCTTGCAAGAGGAGGGAAAAAAAGCTTTATTTAAGCATTGACTCGATGCAGTTATATTTGTAAAACCAAGAAATGTAACTCCTTTGAAAACCATTCTGGAATATAAAAACAAATACATGTTTAAATTTTATCCTGAGCATGTAACGTGAGTAACTTTAAAAAATAAATAAAAAAAAATTTGCAGTGCATAGCTGGCCTTGAATGATTTCATTCGTTCTAGTTGTGCATGTGTGTGTAAAACAATGCAAATTCCAAACAGTGTGAACAGATTTTCTGTATTTCAGATGGTTTTACAGATTCTGGCATCTCATCCAAACTCAATGGAGAGCATAAAGAAAAAGATCTCGAGCCGTGGGATGGTGGCGATGGTGTTATTACTACTAGCAGTGTGACGAGTACCAGTGAGGAAATGGAACTTTTGGAGTCTGATGTGGTAAATGTGACTTTGTTTAAATGTATATTTTACACTTTTTTTTTTTTTTTAGTGGTGAGGTGAATTTGTCAGAGTAACATTTTATTCACTTAAAAGCATGCAAGATTTCTGTGTGTTTTCTTATTTGGCTCATTTTTCCTTGGGGCTGACTGATGGGGATGTTTTAGCTAAATATCTGCCTCTTCCTTCTCTTCTGTGAAGACTGGCAGATCATACGGAGCCATTGTGTAGACAAGCTGTACAGTATCTTAAATACTATAACTGACTTTTTAATTTATTTAATTTTTTTTAGTCCAATGGATGGGATCCAAATGAGATGTTTCGCTATAATGAAGAAAACTATGGTGTCGTATCAACTTATGACAGTAGTCTCTCCTCCTACACGTAAGTTTCTGTTATTTCCAATTTTAATATTTTATTCATGATTACTCAATACAAATTATTTTATCTTTAACAACACACTGGTTACAGCAAATCGACGTTTCAGTCCATCATAGGACTTTCATCAGGATCCACCTATTATGGACTGAAACGTCAATTTGCTGTAACCAGTGTGTTATTAATAAAGATAAATAATTTTCTTAAAGCCCAGCATGTGCCTTTCTTCGTGGAGATTTGTTGATTTTAGGCGGGCGGGGGGGAATATATATTCAAGAAATGCCTATTTCATTTAAAAATAAATCACAATATAGTGCACTTTAAAGGAAAAACTTAAATTTAAAGTGGAACAAATACTATGCTTGGAAACTTTTTTTTATTTTTTATTTTTTTTTATTTTTTACAAATCCTTACACATGTTATTTTTTTCCCTAGTGTACCTTTGGAGAGGGATAACTCTGAGGAGTTTTTAAAGAGGGAAGCAAGAGCAGCTCAAATAGCTGAAGAGATTGAGTCAAGTTCCCAGTACAAAGCACGTGTTGCCTTGGAAAACGATGAACGGTCAGAAGAGGACAAGTACACAGCTGTTCAGCGAAACACAAGTGATAGAGAAGGGCACACTGTGACAAATAGGTAAGCACTACTGCATAGACTAGTTCTATATCTATACTGCTACTATGATGACTGGGTTTTAGTATACTCCACTTGTTCATTGTGACTAAAAGCAATTCATACTTCTAATATATGCAGCAGAAAACCTTTTTTTTTTTTTTTTAAAGCGGTGTGGATAAAATTTTCCAATATGCGCTCGATCTCACTATTCTGGATGTAATTTTTTTTTATTTATTTATTTTTACTTTGTGTCCATGACTTAATGTGTTTTGCTGCATGTAAAATAAAATTGTTATTTAAAAGTAAATCTTTAATAATAATAATAAAACAATTTTAATATGGACCACTGTTGTATATGTTGTGGAAATGTTAATGTATTTTTGCTTTGTTTTTTTTTATATATTAATATACAATTTAAAAAAAACACACTTTTTTGAAATCTATAGAGAGAAATATATTCCCCCCAGCCAGCGAAATAAGGACGGGCTGTCATGGAGTAGCCACAGTGGCAGGCAGAGTTCTCCAAGGATGAGCCAAAGTGGGGCCATTCAAACCTCACGAACGAACTCTCATTCCTCTGACTTTAGTCCCAGTTCTGGACCTGACCAAAGAGTTGTAAATGGAGGTATGTTAAACTTACTTAAAATTTATATTGATTACATTACTTCATCTCTCTAGATAATATGAATCGGTTACTTTTTTTTTTTTTTTTTTATATATATATATGTGTATATATATATATATGTGTGTATATATATATATAATATATATATAGTGTTGTGCATGTGGGAAAGGTGAACTATGTAAGGAACTTCCCATGTGTTAGACAATTGACTTAATGATTGAGTGCGAGAAACCATTCCCTGCCCCTTTTTTCGATTTTTATTTTTTTTGTTTCCCTCCCCCTCCCGTTCTCCTGTTGACTTGTTTATTTTCCTCTCCTTCGTATCATTTTCTTTTTATTTTATTATACTTTCCTTCATCTCATTTGTTCTGTCAGGTGTTTCCTGGCCATCGCCTTGTCCATCTCCTTCCTCCCGCCCACCTTCTCGCTACCAGTCAGGTCCTAGTTCTCTTCCACCTCGGGCAGCCACCCCTACAAGGCCGCCCTCCAGACCCCCTTCGCGGCCATCCAGGCCCCCGTCTCACCCCTCTGCTCATGGTTCTCCAGCTCCTGTCTCTACTATGCCTAAACGCATGTCTTCAGAAGGTACAATACCTCTGTGTGTTTTTGTTTCTATTTTTGTTTTTTCTTTTGTTTTTGCTTTTGTAAAAATCCTTTTACTCCCTGCACCCATGTTCATGGAATTCACAGGAGCTTTACCTTAATTGCTTACATTTTTGGCTTTAATAATTTGCAGTACTTGTCAAGACCTCCCTATTGTAATCTTTATAATTGGCTGAAAGCTATGCAAGGTTGAATTGCAGCCATACAATGGCTTTTTTGTCTGTCTTCATTGGGATATGTTCATTACTTGATGTGTGTCTATTTGTCTCTTTAGTGGAAATAAATATTTAAGGTAGCTGTTATGACAACCCTGGGCTTTCAGATATTGAATGCAGTCTGGTGGCATACTTAAAAAAACAAAAACGAAACAAATATCACTCTCAGAAGTATGGAAATGGCTACTCCTATCCATTTTAACAAATGTTTAATAGTTTTCTGTAGCAAGCTTTACAATTTGTAGTCATAATGCAAATTATTTGTATAGTAGTTTGGTTTATTACATCATATAGTGGAAAACATGAAGCATAAATATTATACTTCATATTTTGATAATTATAAAAGCTGTAGGTTGGTAACCTTGTTTTCCAAATAAGGTGCAGTGCTGTATCTGGCAGGTTGAACTCTTTCCCACCAGAGTGCATCAAAGAGAGGTTGTCTAAAGTTGGCTGCTCTAGAGACCTCCACTTTAAATTTCACTATCAGAAATCAGGAGGTCCTTGGCATAAATTAGGAACCAACTGATCCCTTCCATCCCTGACATTTCTTAAAATCTGCACTGTAATGTTTCTTCTGCACATGAATGCTGCCTAGCACATTTACCTGTACCTGTACTCCACCATGCTGGAGTTAGCAGGATTTAAAAGGATGATAACATGAAACTGTCATGTAAGTACATAAAGTGAATTATCTTCTAAGACATTTGAATGTCAGTAGAAATTGACTGCGAAGCAGCTTGTCCGTGTTCTACAGGACAGTTGAATTTGATTTGGGTGTGGTGGTTGGGGGGGCGCGCGAGGCAACGTAAAGTGAAATCACCTCAGCACAGGTCAGCTTTTCAGCCAAATCTGTTTAAACTATTTATTTATGTTGGGATATCGTGTTTTCTTCTTATATTTGTTGTCCTGCAGTTCTACATGTAGAATGTTTTGCACTTTCAGGACCTCCGAGGATGTCTCCAAAGGCTCAAAGGCACCCTCGCACACACAGAGTTTCTAATGGTAGGAGTTCTATATGTGGTGGATTAGAATTTGTGTCTCGCAATGAACCTGGAGAAATTTCTGTGCCGCCTGTGGCTCGAAACAATTCCGGTGGAACGTGGTCTTCTGTCGTCAGTGGAGGTGAGGTTGAAAAGGATGGTGTGCCAACTACTCTGTGCTGTTTTAGCCCTGTCTTTTTGACTGCCTGGCTTTTGTGACCAATGGTCGACGTTCCAGTCTGTGGGTGCAAGAGGATTACATCTGCTAGTTATAAAATTAAACTTTCTTGAATACATAGATTAAAGTGTAAAGTATTGGTCACAAGCTCAGGGCTGTCTGAATGAAAAATATTCAATATCAAACAATATCTGTGCAGAACAAATGCTACAACTAAGCTGCTAGATTACTCTTGTGTTACATTTTAAAGTAAAAACAAACCAGTCCTTGTAGCCCACTGGTTTGGCAACCACTCATCCATTATGTTTGAGAGAAGTTTTTGAAGTGTTCTATATGGATATTGTTATCAAAAATATGGACCACTGCTAATAAGTTGTGTGGGGAAAATCCTATCAATCATAGCTGACAAAGTAATGTTACTGTTATTAATGCATGCAGATACATATTTAATTTTAAATTATTTTTTTAACTGGTAACTTGATGTAGACTGCCAAATGCAGGCAGTCTATCATGAAGGGTGGCATATTTGTTGATTCTTTACAGGGTAGCTGTGCACGTGAGCATATAAAGTGTCTTGTGTCATCTGTTTTGATATGCGAATCCAGTGCGTGTGACTTCACTTGCGTGAGCAGTGCTGTCTTAGTGTACTGCATGCATTAATAACTGTAACATTACTTTGTCAGCCACGATTCCGATAAACCTGTAACTGGCCTGGCATGAGCAGTGCTGTCTCACTTGCCTTCTGTATATCTTTTATTTTTATTTTTTTTTGGTTCTAAATGTATGCATTTCTTTTGTATGCTATGGCTGGTAGCTAACTTCTTGTGGCTTTTGCATATCCCCAGTTCAACGTCTGTCCCCCAAGACGCATAGGCCCAGATCTCCCCGGCAAGGTAGCATGGGAAGCGGTGGCTCAGGTCCTGCATTGAATTCTCCCCAGCCCGGTACTGTTCCTCCAGAATCTGTTACCATGCCAGCACCCGCAGCATCTCCAACACTTGCCAGTCCTGCATCCAACAGGGCAGTTACTCCATCCTGTGAAGGTATGTACTTCTATAATTCTGGACCTAATGAGCTATTCACAAATCTATAAAGCGCATAATTATTTGGAGTGCCACCGTACAAAAATTCACATAATGAGATAATTGAACAAGTGAATGGTGTAGCATAAACATTAAATATTTTAGTCACTTAAAGATTTGCTCTACCATTCAGTTAAGTCATACGCTAGTAAAGTGGCTTTGGAAGTGATTTGCAAGAGGTCCATCTCACATATATCGGGGTGTAAACTTCTACTTGCCATGGCTAAATTTTCATTTGACAATGGTTTATTGATGAGTGGAAATTTTAAGCTTTGCTAAAGCCATAGAACCGTGATGTTAAAAGGAAAACCTTTTTTTTTTTTTTTTTTTTTTTATTATATCAAAATAAATGGTCTAACTATTTCTAACTATATTTGTTTATTATGGACTGATCCTCTCGAGCCAGAAGATATTAAAATTTTTATTGTAAATGTGTTTTAGCAAAGGATTCAAGGTTGCAAGACCAGAGGCAAAATGCTCCTGCTGGCGCTAAAGAAACTAATAAACAAAGTGAACCTTCAACATTTCACAAACCTGAGAGCAAGGGTAGGTACTCTTGTTTATTCTATTAAAATAGTAATAGAATTCAGTTTTTATAATTTTCCTTGAACAAGTGTATAGATAAATGCCTTTGTAAGAGAGAACCTTGCATACATTGCTTGATGGGTTTTATGACTTGGGCTAACTGCTTAATTGATTAAATTGTGTATTCACCTTTGCTGTATAGTATTTAACGTGATATGCTAACTGGTTCCATTCAGCGCTTATAAATCAATCTGACTTGCTAAGCCACTTCCTGGTGTGGAGAGTGCTTACTTCAATTTGGTGCAAATGCTAGAGAAATAAGGAGAATTTGCTAAATGATTGCAAATTTTAGGCCACTAATGTGGAGTTGGACAGGGGTGTGTTTGTGTTGTTGAGATAGATATATAATTTTTATTTATTTTTTCATTTAACTTTTTATTTTTGTCTGCAATGTAACATTTATGGTTTAGTGAAGTGGGTGTATAATATACACTTTTTTTTTTTTTTTGTAAATCATTTGTTGGAAATCTTGAATTCAGTAACATTTTTTGCCTGTTTTTGGTTTTACAGTAGTGTCACCTGAACAAAGAAAACAACTTGATGACCTGAAGAGATTCAGGAACGATTTTAGAGTAAGTGCTTGCATTTTTAACAAGTGTTGGATATGATTCACATTAAATTGTAAGTGATGTCATGGGTCATGCTTGGATTGTCATCTTAATGGATTATTTTTTTTCTTTTTTTTTCAGCTCCAGCCGAGTTCTAGTCCTGATCCTATGGATCAGCTTCTTTCCAAAAATCGTGATGGTGGGGAGAAAGCTAGAGAGCTTATAAAGGAGAAAGTTGACTCTGTAGCCAAGGAATCCCCAAGTGATAGTGGCAGCAATGCCCCTACTAGCAATAGTAGTAGTAAACCTAGTAGTCCTAGTGTCTCACCTTCTATTAGTAGCAGCAGCAGTTCAGACCACAAAAGAGGTCTTGAAGTAACCTCTCAAGGTGTTCAGACCTCTGCTCCAGGAAAACAAGAACGTGAAGACAAAGAGGACAAAAAAGAAAATGCTGCAGAGTAAGTTCTATTGCGTTACAGCTGATCATGTGTGGGCTGTTTTTGTGTGTGCATTACATACATGAGCTGTGACATTAAAGAAATGTTTTGGTCCTGGTAAAATAAATTGCTAAAGAAATGTAGCCATACTGGGAGTCCTGATTCTTGGTTATGGTTGGATATTTTGCCGGCAATATTCTGCTTTGCTTCATAAAGAATTCCTGCATCTGTGTGTAACTAGATTGTGTTTTATGTTGTACCACATATTTTCAATTCTTATACTGGCTGACCAACTTTATATATCCTCTTTTTTTGTAGGCAAGTGCGAAAATCCACCCTAAATCCTAATGCAAAGGAGTTTAATCCACGCTCGTACGCTCAGGTAACTAGGAACTCCAGCTGTTCATCGTGATAACGATGCATATTGTAGGGCATGGCCAGACTATTCAATTGGCACCCTGTATTTACAAATACAGTATATAAGCTAAGGCTCCAGGCTTTATTTCCAATGCACTGGACTTGTACTTTCTTCCTTCCCTGACTGATAGAATGAGTAACATAACATAATTCAAATTGTATGTGTGTGTGTGTGTGTACATTTATATTGCATAAACATTTTCCATAGTGCTTTACAAAGTGTCCTTGTGGGGATAGAATAGAGATGTAGGGAGCCATTCTCTTAGTTGCTTGCCTAAACTGAATGTGTGAAAGCTTTTTTTTTTTTATCTTTATGTATTTTTGCTACATTGCTTCAATTATTTTAACTCTTGGACGTGATGTGTTTATCTTCTAGCCCAAGCCTTCGACAACACCAACATCACCTCGGCCACAAGCTCAACCAAGTCCCTCAATGGTGGGACACCAGCAGCCAACCCCTGTGTATACACAACCAGTTTGTTTTGCACCAAATATGATGTACCCAGTTCCCGTTAGCCCTGGGGTGCAGGTAACTTAAATTTGCATTTAAAGTTGTCTTCATTCATGATCCTGAGGCATGGTACAATCATGTTTTAAAGATACTGCTGCAGTCTTACTACGTGTGCTGGGAATGATGCATTGTCCGTTGTAGTCAGTAATTCTTTGCCCCTTGGAAATGTTTACATATGGTAGGGACACTTTTTTTTTTTTTTTTCTCAAGTGTTTGTCAAATTGGAAATTTTCTACCTAATGGGGATGATTTGCCTTTTTAGATTTTGCCTTTTAGTTTGTGTTTATATTTTGCAAAGCTATAGCTTTTTGGTTTTAAATAAGTTTTTCATAATGGTCTTCAGCATTTGTATGAGTTTCGTCGATCATTATAGTATCCAACTGGCTAAACCATGTATTGCTGACTACTGTTTTACCATTCTTTCTTTAAAATTACCTTGCAAAGTCAACGGACTCATCTTGTACTTGTATCCTTAATCATGCTTTACATGGTATATTAATGTGCCACTATTTGTATTTATTTTTAAGCCATTGTATTCAATTCCGATGACGACCATGCCAGTGAACCAGGCCAAAACTTACAGAGCAGGTAAAGGTGAGATGTGCACATCTGTGCTTAGTTACTGTCTGCATGCTGCATGACTTCAAATGGGATAATCCAGGTTTAAGTTGACCATTTTTGTTTCGTTCTTAAATGCTTTAATATATAATCAAAAGCAGTAAATAAACAATCACATTTGAACTTCCTGACTTCTGCAAATCCTCCTGCTTAGTCTCCCTCAACCAGGAAGGGATTCACCCAATCATGATGCTCACTTAACTAGCTCAACAGCTGCTGATTGTTTCTGGAAGTTATAAAAAGACCACTATAGAATTAGAAATATCGACCCGTATTCCTAACGCTACGGGTCTCCTATCCGTAGTATTCCAACGCACACCCCACCGTGCCTTTGTATAAAAATAAAACAAACAGGGTTTTTACTTCCCTTTTTCCAGTGCCGATAATCCGTTTTTTTTTTTTTTGTTTGTTTGTTTTTTTAAAATTTATTTATTTTTTTATTTATTTATTTTTATCAGCTTCCCAAGAGGTCATCGAGGAGGCACAGTTTCCTCCTGTGATGGTCCAGTCCAATGTTTAGCACCAAAGTCAATGTTTTCCAATTACATTCTATATGAGCTGCATCATGTGACCATTTTACTCTGTCAGCACATAGTAAGACAGGCACCAGAGGTGTGCTTGTTTAAAAAAAACTGCAGTGTTTGTCATTGCAGGGTTAAATTGACAAGACCCCTTCATTGAGATTAAGTGCTCTTGGTGACTTTAGTGGACCTTTACATTTTTAAATATATTAAGCTTTCTACTGTATAAAAGAACAACTTGAGTTAACCAGAGAAATTACACCATGTGCCAATGTTCAGGAAGGAAAGAGACAGACTGTTGGGGTAGAAATTGTGGTCTTGTGGACAAAATGGATATTAACTCAAAACCTTTATTGATTACATAAAGTAAAAAGTAACTGCACATTGGTGTCTATTCTAGCTTAATTTAAACAGGTCTGTTTTATATCTTGACATAGCATGTGTGTCCCTCCCATTCACCGGTTTCTCTATTGGGTTATTTTCATTTTTTTTTTTTGGACTCTGGCACTCTAACATCAAATACCATTAAAGGACCTCAATAGTGCCAGGAAAACAAACTAGTGTTCCTGGCACTACAGGGCCATTAGGTCCCCCTCCTGCTGGGCTAAAGGGGTTAAATCCTCTTCAGCAACCTACCTTTCTCCAGCGCCTCTCTCCTCCCCAGTTGACGTCCGATCCGAATGCGCGGCAAGAGCCGCGTGTGCATTCAAACCGCCCATAGGAAAGCATTACTCAATGCTTTCCCATAGACGTCCAGCGTCTTCTCGCTGTGGTTTTTCACAGTGAGAATCGCGGAAGCGCCTATAGCGGCTGTCAATGAGGCAGCCACCAGAGGCTGGATTAACCCTCAGTGAAACATAGCCGTTTCTCCGAAACTGCTCTGTTTTCAGATGCAGGACTAAAACTAGAGGGTCCTGCCTATAGTGGTCCTTTGACCATAATTGTATTGAATATCTACTTTATGCCCGCCCTGTGTCACATTTTATTCCTGTTACAATTTAGACCATTGTTTATTTAAAAGACAGATTTATTTGCATGAAAAGTGGACGGCTTATAATAGGGAAAGAGGGGGGATGGGTAACATTAAATTACTGATTGTTAATTATGCTGACTTTGTTTTCAGTTCCAAATATGCCCCAGCAAAGGCAAGATCAGCATCACCAGAACACAATGATGCATCCAGTGTCTGCAGCTGGACCTCCAATAGTAACGTCACCTGCCTATTCTGCGCAGTATGTGACTTACAGCCCTCAGCAATTTCCGAATCAGCCTCTCATGCAACACGTTCAACATTATCAATCGCAGGTATTTACTTCTAAAAATATTGTAGTGCAGAAAGGGCTTCTAAAGACTGTTTAAATGTATTATTCATTATGTGTTTTGCAAACTGTCATGACAAGAGGTAAAGTCATCCCTTGATGATCAAGTAATTTTTGGTTTATATAGAAAGCAATATGAGTTGGTTTGTATTAAAAGGCATTTTAATGAATGGACGAGTGAACATTAATGGTGTCCGGAAAGACTAAAAGAAGGAATAAGGGAAAAACATTTTAATTTAACCAAATAAGCTCACTCTAATATATTTTGTTTTTACAGCCTCCACATATGTATGGCCAAGTTATACAAGGGGGTACCAGAATGATTCCACCACCAACGCATGCACAGGCTGGCTTAGTATCCTCATCTGCTACACAGTATGGAGCCCCAGAGCAAACACATGCTATGTATGGTAAGAGTCACGGCCATAAGACAGAACCGTATAATACAGACTTGGAATTTCCTTCACGGTCTTATTTTTCTACATATTCATAAATAACCGTTGTCGGTTTCATTTTGGATTTAAATATGCTGTAGTACCTAACTGTTCAGACATCTCTGGATTTTATCTTTTTATTTGTTCTTATGGTAAATATTCTATATTATTAGACACTTTAATCTAAAACTATCCCCAATGCTTAGTTTCGTAGATTAAAGGTAAGGGGATCATATGTATGCGTGAGAGGAGATTTTATCCCTTATCTCTAGATTTAAATCTATTATTACTCTGACAATGTTAATGCAGCTTCTCAGTCCCAATTAAACCTTGAGTGGAAAAAGTTTTGAGCCCATCCAGATGTGTGCATGTGATAAACCATACATACTCTTGGCATTTTCATAATTGTCACAAACACGTAGGCAAGAATATTTTTGTATCTTGAGCTAAAGATTAGTGTTGCTATTTTGTTCTTTTAGGTTAAACAAATCTAATATTGTAGTCTTTAACATTATTGTAGGATCTATAAAGTATTCTCATATGTTCCTCATCGTGCTGATGTTACTTTGGCTAAGATACAACTAGATTTAAATATTTAAAGTGAAACTGTTACTTTATTTACCACAATATGTGCATGCATGGATACTACCCTCATTTTGACAAACTAAAAAAAACAACAACAAAACACAAAAAATAAAATAAAAACCTTGCCTTATTGGCACTTAAATTGCTGTATGAGCACATATGTGTTCAGCACTTCCGCCACCAGTGGAGAAAGTAAAGAAGTTAACTAATTTGCATGATTTGCCAGACATGGCAAGAACTGTATGTAAATGTAAAAGCAATTTTAAGAATGTGTGTATTTTAAATGGCCCACTTTTTAGCTAACTTCGTTTTTTGGTTTTTTTTGATCATGTTATTGGCTACTATTAAGGGGACACTATAGTCGCCAAAACCAATACAGCTTAAAGTAGTAGTTCTAGTGTCTATAGCCTGTTCCTGCACTTTCAGCAATGTAAACCCTGTGTTTAGAGAGAAAAAGCAGTGTTTACATTGTTACATCTCTGAGTATTTTTGCTGTGCATGTACAGTAGCTTTTTTTTATAGAAGTTGTGGCACAGCCATGATGAAATCAGTATGGCGATGGAGAAAAGGTAGCTAAAATTCCTTCTTATATTTTGGGAGGAAGTGGACACCTAAATAGGTAGTCCAGCACTATAGTGTTAGGAAGGCATGTTTTTATTCCTAATGCTATAGTGTAGCTAGATCTGTAAATCAATTATTTCCACAATTGGTGTAAATACCAATTTTTAAGATTTTCTGCTACTTTTTTTGCAGAATCTTTCATCCTGTTGGTGCCCTATGTACCAATTACAGACCCAGGCTAAAATTTGGCTTGCCTGAAGAAAATGTTAATGGAGAAAATTCACTTGCCTAAATTGTAAACATTCTATTTATTTTCCCCTGCCTTGTTACCAGTTACTACTTGAATGACCGGGTTTGAGCAATATAGTGACTACTGCTATACCAGCTAAGCTATATTTAATACAGCAGTGATTTATTTCAAAGTAGAATCTTGAAATTGCTCCATATATTTAGTCTGTTAAATTTCTGTCTTATTTTTCCTGTTTTGGCCAGTATGTTTTTTCATAACTCCAAAAAGATGAAGGAAGAATGGGATCGCATCAAATGTCTGTGGATTGTATACATGCTGTAATTGTAGGAGTGCAATTTCAGGTCTTGCAGCTTTTTACATGGCTCTTATCTGAGTTATCACGATTTGTGGCTTTCGTTTGCTCTTTAATCTAACTCTTGCTTGGTTCATCTAATCTATGCTCACTGAATATGACATTTGTTAATGGGCATAATTTTAGCCCCAGTAAGACACCAGTATGCACATATATTTCCTCCACAGTGGAAGGTATTCAAACATAAATGTTTATTTGCCACTGACATCTTTGAAAAACGTAACCGCATAAATAAAATTTGTCCTTGCATAAATGTCAGCCTTATTTTGCTTTCACAAAAAGGCTAATTTAATTTACCTTTCTATTTCCCCAAATTCAGCATGTCCCAAAATACCCAACAACAAGGAGACAGCCCCTTCTTTCTACTTTGCCAGTGAGTTGTTGTTTTGTTTCAATTTCCTGCATATTGACTGCTTTTAAGAACTCCATTGGTAAAATGTCCTTTTGCAAAGCTTTCCTTTCCAGACATGGTGAACATGTAGTATGGACTCAAGTGCTTGTGAAATCTAACCTTCCTATCATACATTTTTCACTCTGGTCACTTCATTGTCTTTCTGGGGAATTATTTTCTTACAATACTGTAGATGTGCCGTGTATTTAAAAAGCAGAGCATGTTCCAAGGCACTTATCAAAGAAAGAATACAAACTTTGCTCTATAAGTGTTGCAGTTCTTTTGGCATCTTTTTGAAGGTTGCCTCCGGTGTTGCAATAAACCTAATCGTGTATTTTTGACTAATTGAAAAAGATAGCATTACGTGAAGGTGGGCCTTTTCTGTTTGTTTTTATTTATTACATCTGTCTATTAACTTATAGAAACAGAGCCTTGGCCCAAGCATGACCTAGGGGTCTTATGGGCTCAAGATGTGTTTCAAAACTATGAAAAGGTTTCTTCAAGAATGCTACCTTTCTATATAATATATATTTTCTATAAAGTAAATAGTCTTTACTACTCCGATGAGGAACGTGTGTATTGAATTAGCTTCAGCATATCTTTTCTGCAAACTAGGTTAAGGTGGTGGTGGTGGTTTTTTTTTTCTTTCTTTTTTTTTCTCTCAAGAGTAGCCAGTGCATGTATCAAAGTGCTATCTGCATCAGCATATTTTAGATTAAAATTATTCATCAAGGATTACACAAGATGTAGTAAATGCTAAACCAATGTCTTTGGTTAGTGTTTGAAAATGCTGTTTTGTGTGGGTTTTTGTTTTTCCTTTAATATAAAGCTTAATTCCAGGTTCCAATTTAAATTCTTGCATTGTTTAAAAAGCCAATATCCTAGATGGGAAATGCACTGCGCATATTTGTGGAATAGTGCAGATTTTATTAAAATGTAATTTAATCCATGTACAATATGTGTATTGGGAGGGGGCCCACTTCACCTAAGTTCTTATACATAGCTATTCACATTCTTCACAACTGTCTCATATAAGATTCTCTGCAAGTTATGTGGACTGCTATCAGGAAGAAATCATTAAAGGCTATAAACCAACTTAAGTCTCTAATTCAATCTAGAGGTTTACATAAAACTGCAGCAAAAAATTCTGTTGCTCATTTAAAGGGACACTATAGTCACCAAAACAACTTTACGTTAATGAAGTGGTTTTGGTGTAAAGATCATGCTCCTAGTGTCTCACTGCTCAATTCTCTGCAATTTAGGTGTTAAATCAATTTTGTTTCTGTAACCCTAGGCACACTTCCTAGGAAGAGTCATCTAATGTTTATACTTACTTTATTGCAAATTTTGTATAACTTAGAATTTCTCGTCTACTGTTCTGTTAATAGCTTGCTAGATACTGCAGGAGTCTACTGTATGTAATGAAAGTTCAATTTACAGAGCAGGGGATACAATCTTTTAAAGTAAATTACATCTGATTGAAAATGAAACAATTTTTGTTCATGTAGGCTGACTAGGGCTGCATCAACACACAAAAATGAAAGAACTCATAAATGGCAGAAAATTGAGCAGTTAAACTTGTTTTGGTGACTATAGTGTCCCTTTAATTCATCTGATAAAGGTAAATTATATTCTTGATGTGTATATATAATACAGTGTTTTTGTTTAGTGGGCCTTCGACTGTTCATTTTCTGTGTTTGAGACTTAAGAGTTGCATATTGAATGCCATCTTGGAGACTTGGTTTGCTTCATCTGGCAATCAAATGTGAGGCTTTATTATTCGTATGGTAAAAGCAAACCAAACCCAATCACGTTGAGCAAATGAGCTACTTTGGTATTAGTGGCGGCGAAGAGTTCCTAAAGAGCTGGGGTGGACCCCCAGGTAAGAAGTCAAACTACTTACAATGGGGTTGTGTGGTCTCCAGGGCACACCTGGTACCATAACCACTGTGATGAGCTTTAATGGTTATGCTGCTTGGAGTGTACCTTTTTTAAGTATTGTTGTCTTCCCTTTAGGTCTAGCCTGCCTTTGCCGTCCAGACCGCCAGCTTACATTTGCAGTATTTTTGGATTTTCTCCCCACTTCTGTTTTGTTAACATGCTTTGAGAATGTTTTGAAACCTTAAGAATGTTATCAAACTCTAAAATGTTTTTTTTCATGGATTTCAGTTTCTACCAGCTCACTGGCACAGCAGTATGCCCATCCTAGTGCTGCTCTACATCCACATCCACCTCACCCACAGCCTTCAGCTACTCCCACTGGCCAACAACAGAACCAACATGGTGGCAGTCACGCAGCCCCAAGTCCTGTACAAGTAAGTGATTGTTATTTTACACAGTGTGCTGTTACATAATTTCTATCTAGAACTTCCCTAATATCCCTTCAAACTAATAAAACCTTTATGCATACAATCGCTTGGTTTATTGTATGATTTAATAAGTCCTATTTTGAAGACTTATAGGACGATACTAGACATGAATGTTGGCAGGCTGCTCATGCCGAGTACTTTTGACAAGTAACCCACCCACTGTTGGCCACAATTGAAAGTTTTTTTGTTTGTTTTTTTTTTGTTTGTTTTTTACGTGAAACTTTATTAATACAAGTTTCTTTCTATTTTCCAGCACCATCAGCATCAAGCTGCACAGGCTCTCCATTTAGCAAGTCAACAGCAGCAATCTGCAATATACCATGCTGGACTGGCACCCACACCACCTTCTATGACCCCTGGGTCCAATGCCCAGTCACCACAGAACAGTTTCCCAACTCAACAGACTGTATTTGCACTCCATCCCTCGCACGTGCAGCCTGCCTACACAAACCCACCACACATGGCTCACGTTCAACAGGTAACTGTTCTACAGCACTTCATATTTGGTTTAAACAAATCACTGCTACAATACAAGGAATTTGAGACACACACTTCCACTCTCTCTTTATTTATTATTTTTTTCTTTTTTTCACATTTTTAGTATGGTCTATCAGAATGGTTCAAGTGATTATATAAAGGGGAAATACATGCATGTTGCAGTCTGCTGCTCTTGTACCCTATAATTGGTAATACTCAATGATACCGTGGCTTGGGTATTGATGTTTGCTCTGTGTATTTTATTTTATTTTTTTAACTTTTATATAGATCGCACGGTACAAATTGTTCCATTAACTTCCAATAGGCGATATCTGTTTTTGTTCCATTATACATTTCGAATTGATTTGCAATTTTATTTTTCCCTTTGCAGGCTCATGTGCAATCAGGAATGGTTCCATCACACCCATCTGCTCACCCAATGATGCTTATGACTGCACAGCCACCAGGGGGCCCTCAGGCTGCTCTGGCTCAAAGTGGTTTACAGCCCATTCCTGTGTCTACAACTGCACATTTTCCCTATATGACCCATGCTCCAGGTAACCCAACATAATGAATGATTCAGTCAGTGCAGCATTTCAAATTGTCAGAAAGATGTTGAACAGACAGACTGATTCACTGCGAATTAAAATGGGAATCTGATGCCGTCTTCTGGGCTGGTATTATTTTAGGCATTTATATTTTAATAGTTTTGACCTATTATGAAAAGTTAGGTATTTCTAGATTTGAGTTTTAAACAAATCCAAAATGTCTTCTGTTTTTTTTTTTGTTTTGTTTTTTTTAATTTATTTTTTAAATATTCATTCAGTTAGACAGTGGCATTTGGGACATGTATGTGTGATTGACTAATTCCATCTTCAAACCCTATGATGGAATTCTATTGATGCATATTGATTGGGATTCCCCCACATCCCATCCCCTAGACTAAATACTAGACTTTAAGGCACACCTAACCCTGATATTAAAATGTAAACATTAGTGTAAAAAATAAATTGCGGACTTTGCGTGTGTGATTTATTTGTTAACCTTATTGGAAATGGCATTTATTTATTTTATTTTATATTTCCCTTTCCAGTGCAAGCACATCACCAACAGCAGCTGTGAATCTGGAGTGCGATCAGTGAAAAGGCTGGAACCCTTTTATAGGCCAAAAACTTCCCACGTGCTTCCTTCCTGGAAGCATTGTCATCTAGAATCTCATTTTTGTTTAAAATAAATCTTGATTTCTTTTAACATCCGATAGGAATGCTAACTGATCATCTTGCAGTGGGAAAGATTCGGACTGTGTAGAGGCATGTAGGAGCTTGCAGGCTACCCTGTGCGCTGCATCAGTCCTCCTAAAGACCCAACCTTTGCTTGCTGATAACTGGAAGTTATTTATTTTTAAAGTCCCTTCTAAGTTATGAACTCATCAGCTAGCGAAGGAAGTAACACAATTTGATTCTTGCTGCTATCTTCACCTTAAAAAAAACAAAATCAAGACTCTAAAATCCCTTTTACTTCTAACTAAACTTGAAACCGATTCAGTAAAGATTCTGATCATCAACCTGATGTATTATTATTTATGAGTCGGGTCTGATGATACAGCTGCTGCCTCCAACAGCGGTGTAACTTTTAAGTTAAGAAAAAAAAAAAACTTTTACTTTGTAGATAATATAAAATAAAACCTAAAAAAAAAATAAAAATAAAAAAAGTTTTAAAAACTGAATCTGCCTTTGTGTGTTACTCCTTCGAACACGAACATTTACTGGTAGTGAAGATTGGGATTTACATGCTTGAGATTATTCTGACTTGGGCAAATGCTAAATTGTTTAGCTACACACGTGCAATTTCTAGAGCTGTGAGTTATGATTTGCACTGGAAGGACATCTCAATGCTATATTACTTTAACCACGATTTGATGTGTGAATTTTGGTTTTATTATGGGTATTTATATAAGAATCTTTATGGCTTACTTCAAAATAACACACGTTTTATGTCAGACAGAGGAAAGCAACTCTGTGTTTTAAAGCCATCAAAGAGATATGGAACATTAAAAATAGTTTTCTTGGAGATTTCTTGCGGCAAAAGGAATGACTGGTGTGCTATGTTGTAAGATCAAATGTTTGCGTATTATTATTTTAAGAAATGGTTCATATAATAAAATGGACAGGAATTGGCTTGGTTGATCGCTATTCTTGGAAGTTTGTATTGCAGCAAGACCTAGTGGACTATCTGAGAACCAAGGTAGACTACCATAAGTAGGATCTGTCAAATGTTTTTTTCCTTTAGTTGACCAGGATTTGAGGCAAGCCACTGGTATTTTTTAATGGCCACAGCAGGGAAAAAGAGTTAAGATTTTGTTTCTTCATGAAGAATTTTTTTATCAGCCTTGTGGAAAAGGCAACTCTACAGATTTCCTGCTATACCATTAATTTCAGCTGTTATGAAGAAAATTTATATTGAGAACCTATATTACTGGGATACTCTCAATTTGGCCAAAGCCTCCTTTAGTAATCTATGCTTCATCATCTATTTGTAAATTCTTTTCCTGAGGAGCTCACTCTGTCATGATCTACTACTAACCCATGAACCCCTAAGAGACTCAGACCTCCATCTGAGATTCGTAGCAAGCTTTAAAGAGTTTCTTGCTAGAAGTAATTGCCACACTTCCTAAATTGCAGACAGACTTACATTTTGAGCACCTATTTATGTATCTGGCAAGCATTTGAAAGTTCTGCGGTTATGAAATCAGTTGCCATCCAGAGTAAAGTGTTTTGTTTTTTTTGTTTGTTTAGTTATTTTTTTATTTTTTAAACTACACAACGTCCAGGTAGTTGTCTTGTGAACTATAACCGGTTCCAGACAACTTAGTACAGGCATAGGCAACCTTCGGCACTGCAGATGTTTTGGACTACACCTCCCATGATGCTTTGCCAGCATTATGTGTGTAAGAGCATTTTGGGGGATGTAGTCCACAACATTTGGAGGGCCAAAGGTTGCCAATGCCTGACTTAGTACTTTAATGGTGGGTTTATCCTTTTTCCTCCTCCGTTGCATTTACAGGCACGGCTTGCATCATGCCTACCCTGGTTACAACTCATTGAGTACTTCTTCTGACCATTACTCTGAATGCCTTTGCTGGTGGCTTATGTTGGCAAGACTGATGTGCAAGAATCAGGGTATTTTTTTTTTATTTTTTTTTAAATAGCTGGTCCTCAGTTTTTGTAGAGAACAATATCATGATTTGCAAAGATCCAAGGATGTGACACAATACCACTTCATTCCTCAAGGACATTGTCTCTCTGGGGCTTGGGTAGCAAAATGATCGATTGTGATCTCAGAGCAGTCTGGTAGATTTTGGATCATGCTGCGATTGACTGGCAGACGATACACACTGAATATCATGGCAGTGTTTTCATTGACCCTATTTGCTTGCAGTGGAACTGGCTCTGTCTACACCATTACTACTAGGAGGATGACAGAGCAGTTATTTCTACAGTGCTATGTGAGGGTTGGCAGGGTAGGATATAATCCTATAGCCATCCCTTTATACCCTGATGCTCTTTCATACAATGCAAATGAATTCCAGGCATATGATCTGACTAGGTCTAATCTAAAATAAACACGCTCTTCTTCAACACCGTAGGTCTCTGACTAAGGGCTCCTCTTAACTTATTAAAAGAACACTATATTCATTCAACAACTTTAGCTTAATGAATCATGTTTTTTTTTTGCCTCTGATTGTTTCACTACTGAATTCAGTGCCATTTAGCAGTTTAACTTTTCATGTTTATGCAACCCTAGCCACACCTCCCATGTCCATGACTCTCACAGCATGCATGAACACAAAATGGTTTCATTTTCTTTCAATAAGCTGTTAAAATATATATTTTTTTTCTTTCTCATGCTCTGTAAATGTAACTTTCATTACATGCAGGATATTCCTGTAGTTTCTAGCGAGCTCTTCACAGAACAGGAAATCTGAAATTCTACATTTTTACAGAATTTGCAACAAAGGAAGTGTAAACATTTGATTACTTTAGGAAGACTATGCAAGTTGCATGCAGAGAGGTGTGCCTAGGGCTACATAAACAAAGTGTTTCAACGTCTAGGTGGCAGAGAATCGAGCAGTGAGACTTCAGATGCATGATCTTTACACCACAACTGCTTTGTGAAAATGTATTTTTATGTGTGCGCTGTCCCTTAAGGACCAAACTTCTGGAATAAAAGGGAATCATGACATGTCACACGTCATGTGTCCTTAAGGGGTTAATCTGTATTCTGTATGATTTTTGGTCACTATGTGAATGTTCCGGGTGTGCTCCTAATTTTTTTTGCCTTTACTACTTAACTTAAAGGGACACTATAGTCACCAGAACAACTACAGCTTATTGCATTTGTTTTGGTGAGTATAATAATTTCCTTTTAGTCTTTTTGTAGTCTTTTCTGAGAAAATGCAGTGTTTACATTACAGCCTAGTGATAACTTCACTGGCCACTTCTCAGATGGCTGTTAGAAATCATTCCTGGGTCATGGCTGCCTAAAATGCATCCAAACATTCAGTGTCTCCTCCCTCTGCATGCAGACACTGAACTTTCCTCATAGAGATTCATTGATTCAATTCATCTCTATGAGGAGATGCTGATTGGCCAGGGTTGTTTGAATTGTGCTGGCTCTGCCCATGATCTGCCTCCTTGTCAGTCTCAGCTAATCCTATTGGGAAGCATTGTGATTGGATCAGGCTACTACTTCTGCTGATGTCAGCAGACAATGGACAGGTCTATAGGAAACAGGGACAAAGTAAGGAGCTCCAGACTTGAATACAAGTAAGATTGTACTATTTTTTAGGTAGGCAATAGGGGGCCAGGGTGGCTAGATGGTAGATTTAACCCTATAGGGTCAGGAATACAGGTTTGTGTTCCTGACCCTATAGTGCTCCTTTAAAATAGGACATTAAATGGGGAAAAACATTTCTTTTCCACATGAAAGCAGATATACAGCAGTGAAATATTTCTTAGAGATAGAATAGTCCTTGAAGCAGTAAGAAGTTTTTTTTGTGTTTTTTTGTTTTGTTTTTTTTTATGGTTTTTAATTTTGGTATGATTCCTATTATTTACAATTACATGGAATGTAGGTATGCGCCCAGTCATGATAATCTGTTTATGGTCCCCTGGGAGGAGATTTTCATTTTTGGGCAACATGACTGGAACAAATACCTACTTGCCTATCACTATTATATTTATATGATTATGATGTGGAGACTGGAGTGAGGAAGATTTTAAAGGATTTATTTTTTTTTTTTTTTTATATTCTTTATTTTCATTGTGCAGGTGGGTACATGTCAGTTTCCAACGCCACAACAGCGTACTTACATATGTCTATACAAGCTTAACAGTGGCAAGAGTACGTGCGCATTTTTGAAATATATAAGCAAGAACAATATAACAGGCTGAACAATAGTGGAATGCTACTGCAGTGTAGATTCGGGTGTGTGTGAGGTAAGTTGCATTGCGGTGTACTACTGCAGTGTTAGAACTGCTGGGACAAGCTAGTCTGCTTGAGAGTCTAGGCAGGTGATTCAAACATGAGGAACAGGATCTAAGGGGTTGTAGTGAAGTATATTAAGTAAATGAGCGGGTGGATAGACTCTGGATGGTTAATTCAGTTAGCCCCTTTGTTCATAACTGTGTTGTACATATCGACACAGGACTCCTAGCTTCAGCATCCTTAGTCATTGTGGAAGTCAAAGGGGAAGGTCTAGAAAATAATTACAGCGCAAGAAGAATCACTGAGCTCTGAGAGCTCTGTCTAGATGTATGTAGGTGTCAGGGCAATGGCGACCTGATCAGATTTAATATCAATCGCTACGTGACCTGCCTGTTTGGCATTAAGTCATCTAACGGTGAGTGGGTGCTGCGTGCCGAGTGGCCAGGCTAGATATCATGCGCTGCCTCTCTATACGTGCGACATGCAAAGAACAATTCTGAACAAACTAACCAAAACTAAAAATTAAACACGCTCGTAACATGAACCGTAAGGTTTCTGGAATTGTAGTTATAGATACGTCTATACATGTTAGTCTAGCGACACACTGCGGTATATAAATCTACATTTATCATGGCAACAGACGCGATATACATGGCAGAGTGTTAGTGGTAAGTGATCACGATCTAGTCCAGACAGGCAAAAACCGGATGCTCAGCTGAGTTATCGTGGGAGATACAAAAAGGCAAACAATAGAAAAAGGAAAGGGAAAAGGAAAAGTCTCTGTTAACAAAAGCTTGTGGACGTCGGCTATTCCCCCCTTCCCTTCCTTGCGGTCATCCGACCTTTATCTCGACTGGGCTATAGGCCTGCATGTGCAGATAGTTTGTGCCGTGTTGCCAGTGTTCTGTCGGGTGTCAGGTGCAGTGTAAACCGGCACAATCCCAAAGTTTGCCAGGGATGTCCAACAAACTGAGCCTTGAGTGCAAGGTTGCCCATGTGTGTTGGATTTGGTTGTCCAATGATATCATCCGTCTGAAGACCTCTGACTAGTCCGCTAGTGTGTGTCTGCGGGAGTCAGTCATGTTGGTGAGGGTAGTTGCTATCCAGACTGGCCATGGTGATGAGCGTGAGTCGCTGCAATCCGGGGCTACATACAACGTGTGGTATAAGTGTCTCAGAAGTGTCTGCTGGGGTGACTTACATTCAGCGTCCAAAGATTGTATAGTCCCAGGGGTGCCGTGTCTAGGTGGTGACCGCGGCGTAGGATTCAGGGGTTGAACCTCTCGGGATAAACAAGTTGATTTTTGCCGGGTCTCAGGTCTGCGCTGGGGTGGTCGGGTGAAGAAGCCTTTCCTGATTGAGCGAGGTCTGTGGAATGCCCAGAGTCCGCAGGAGGTCAGGGGCTTCCTCAATGTCGTGAACCAGATGAGAGGCCGTTCCTTGCTGTACACTGAGGGATCTGTGGTTCTGCCAGCGGTAGTTGATGCCGTGCCGTTGGAGCAGAGAGGTAAGTGGTTGGAGCGATCTGCGCCAGGCCAGGGTGCTACCGGACAGGTCAGCAAAAAAGGTCAGTCCCTTGTTTTCAAACTGCATAGGGGTTTTACCTCGGAGGGCCGAGAGAATCGTCGCTTTTTCCTTCCCATTTCGGAAAGTGATTATAGTGTCTCTTGTCGCTGAGGGTGGTGCTCTCGGGGGTTTAGGGATTCGAAATTGGTCCACAGGGGTGATGGCTATGGTCTGTCCGCTTGGCAATATGGCTGCTATCATACGCTGTACAACTTGCGGCAGGCCGGTCTCCGGTATCTCATCAGGGAGCCCTCTGACCTTTAGATTGTCTTCTTCTGCTATCTTCTTGAGCCGCATAGTGGCGTTCATGTATCTGGTTCTGCCTTTGCAGGTCCAGTACCGCCTGTTGCAGGGACGATAGGTCCTGCTGGTGTCCTTGAGACGTTGTCTCTAGTGTGCTGATGCGGCCTGTCAGGCCCTGCAGTTCGCCCCTGAGGGCAGTTACATCCGCCAATATATTCGTTTGGAGATCTGCCAGTAGTGCCCTCATAACCCCTGTGGTTACCAACTCACCGTCGGTTCCCGTTGGCTTGGCCTTCCGTGTTATGGCCGGGGCTGTCATGTAGTCGTCCTCAGCGTCTCCAGAGAGATCGTCCGAGAAATCGGAACGGCCGCCATGAAGGGCCGCCATGTTAGGCTCCATCGTGCCTCGTGCTTGCCTCCACATTTCGCCGATCGTCCGTTCAGAGGTATGTCTGTCTGGTCCCGGTTTTTTATTTTTCTTCCCCATTGTGCTTTGCTTTGCTGTGGGGGGGGGTCTCCGCCGACATTTGGGGGTCTGTGGGTATTATTTTGTTAGATTTTCCGACGTTTGGTGCACGGAGCTCCAGATTCCTGCGACTGCTGTCCTTCCTATCCCTAAAGGATTTTTTTTAATCATAATAGTTGGGGGTGAACCTAACTGGGAATATTAATTCAGAGGAGTTATATATATATTTTTTTTTTTATATTTGAAAATGTATGTGGGTGATAGTCTAAAAACAAAAACCCACTTTTAAAAGGTAGATCGAAATGCATATGTTTTGTAGAATAGTGGTTGCTGCTCCCCCTGGCTAAATAATACAACTAAGGGAATAATTAAGACTAAAATTAATTGTAGTGCTGAAACTGCTTTTAATACTCGGGCTGAAAAAACTCAAATATACATTTTAGGGTTTTGTTTTTTTTCCTCATTCCTCTTTTGAAGAGAGAGAAAGAGGTGTGTGTGTGTGTGTGTGTATATATATTATATATATTATATATATATATATTATATATACACACAAAATACAGAATCCAGCGCACTAGCTTATTCACTAAGCAATGATTTCAAATCTTAGAGATTGTAATAGTTTTCTTTAAAAACATCTCACCTAGGCAAAACATAATAGGGGTTTAGTAATATTATATGATCATATATTGCATAAGCCTGCCACACCGTCAATGTACCCCATTCTTGGCAGGTCCTACACTAGCAGCCTAATGCTTGCTCTTATGCAATATATGATCATATAATGTAACTAAACCCCCATTATCTTTTGTCTAGGTGAGGTGTTTTTAAATAAAACTATTACAATCTCTAAGATTTGAAATCATTGTTTAGTGAATAAGCGAGTGCGCTGGATTCTGTAGTTTGTATATTTTGGCCCCAGCATCACCCTATAATGTGTGCATGTTCAGGTGAGTGCAGCCCTCTTGGTGTCATTTATTTTTGTATGTATATAATATGTTAGTTAATTCAATGTTAAACAAAAATCTGCACACCAGTCAAGCCCTAAGACTTACTTTTCCCACAGAAATCATAAATTTGCAGTTGTGTTACTACCGCAAAAGATTCTAGGTGGCATATACAAATTAGTTTAACAAAGAATCACATTTTCTTTATTTTTTTTTCAATTTGACAATTTTTATTAAGTCAAGAACGTTTCAACGGGATACAGAAGATAAAAGGTAAGGGTATTCATTGTCAGCCCCATCGCAGTAGCGATCATAGTGTTAGTACATTACAGCCATCAGTTGCAATCCAATAATTACAGTAATTGAGAAAAGGTTTGTATTCCCACTTGAGTTTGGTGGCATGGCTATACTCTCAATTAGTGCTTCCTGTCACTTCCAGAGTGTTACCGGTTAGTTCTTCCGGGCATCTATCTACGCAAAACATATCTTTTGCTGCTAAATCTTAGCCTTTATGGCGTCACACTTACTATATTGTTACAATGGTACATAATTTTTAACCTTGGATTCCACCCTCGTGGTCTTGAATATCTAACTGGCTGGCACCCTCAGCTCAGTGGTTTAGATCTGTGACTGCTGCCGTCTGTCTCCTTGTGTTTTGTTTTGCAGTACAAATGTCGTACCTTTTGGCGAAGGGGCTTTTACCCATTCTAAATAACCCTCTCTTTGATGCTTGACTTTTTTCTTTTTTAAAGAAAAAAAAAAAAGATACCCTAGTATAGAAGGAGAAGGATTTAACTATTTACAAAGTGAGTTTGCGTCGTAGTCCTGTGTGGCTGACATTTTCATTCTGTATTCGTAATAGATGCTACAAGGCCCGTTCATAATAGTTGGTGCACCTTATGTTTGCTTGTACCGTTTCGAGTTCGATTGTGTGGTGTGATTGCTGACCCATGATCTCTAGAAATTACACCTCAGCTTGGTCCTTTCTCCCTCCTCCCCATTATCTCCAAGTGTTCACTCCACTTTCTTACCCTGCTTCCTTCCTTCCTTCCTTTTTTTTTTTTTTAAATTCATTTTTGCTTTCCCTTTTCTTCCCCCTTCATGCACCTCCCCTTTTATCCGGCTTCTCTAGTCACCTCATCTGCGGTATTAGTGACAAAAGTTCCCCACTTTTCATATGCCTCCTGTAGGTGTTTTTTGGGTCGATTGTGTCTTTGCACCATTATTTCATAATCTAGGTTCAATTAAATTTGGTTCAATAGTGCTGGCGTTGTTGGAAGAGCAGTGGTTTTCCATGCCTTGGCTATTAAGTTTGCTGCTATTAGTATGTGAAAAAGTAAAAAAAGATACTGGGCTGGCAGTGGCGTACACATGACCCATGGTGCCCCGGTGCAAAAATTGATCCGTGGCCCCCCCGCGCTTACTCGGCGCGGGTCGGGGCTGCAACACATGGCGGCGGGCACCTGGTCGCAGGGCTGTGACCCCGCGACCGCGGTATGCTGCACACACACTTAAAGGACCACTACAGACACCCAGATCACATCAGCTCAATGAAGTGGTCTGGGTGCCAGGTCCCTCTAGTTTTAACCCTGCAGCTGAAAACATAGCTGTTTCAGAGAAACTGCTATGTTTCACTGAGGGTTAATCCAGCCTCTGGTGGCTGCCTCATTGACAGCCGCTAGAGGAGATTCCGCGATTCTCACTGTGAAAATCACAGTGAGAAGACACTGAACGTCCATAGGAAAGCATTGAGTAATGCTTTCCTATGGGCGGTTTAAATGCGCGCACGCGCCTCTTGCTGCGCATGTGCATTCGGAGCTGAGAGGCGGAGGGATCCCCAGCGCCAAGGAAGTCCGGCGCTGGAGAAAGGTAAATCCTGAAGACACACACTCTCACGAACAGACGCATACACACTAGCTAACAGACACACACATTTACTGACAGACACACACTCACTTACAAAACATACACTTTCACTGACAAAAACATACACTCACTTACAGACATCAGACACACCCAATAACAGACACACTAACACACACAGTAACACACACACACACACACTAATATATGTTGTTTTTTTTTTTAATTGAATCCCCCCAGCTGGGGGGATTCCCTGGGGTCCAGTGGTGGTGCTGCTGGGCGGGCTGGCTATCTGGGTGGCCGGTGCACAAAGAAGCACTCTCCCCTGAGTGCTTCCTCTTCAGCTCCCTCGCGCGCCGCGTAGGGATGCCGGAGCCAGAAGATGACGTCATCTTCCGGCTCTGGTATCTGTGCGGTGCGCGAGGAAGAGGAAGCACTCAGGGGAGAGTGCTCCCTCGCGCACTGGCCACCCAGATAGCCAGCCCGCCGGGGTCAGCAGGGCCAGCCTCGGGGGGCCCTGAGGTGGCTGGCTATTGGGCCCCCCAGGAGAAGAGGCTGGCCCTGTGGGTACATACCAGGTCGCAGGGGCGGACGGGCCCCCTGGTGGGCCGGGCCCGGTCGCAGCCACGACCCTGGTATGTACACCACTGTGGGCCGGGAAGGCCATCTAGTGATACAAATAGGAGACATAGTTCGGGAGTGAGTTCAATGTGTGTGCCTATGGCAGTGTTCGCCAAAATTTCTTGATTTCAGTACTCGTTCATCATATGTGGTACATCGTATCCACCTCTTGTGAGCATCTCCAACAAATGTTAGTGTTTGAGTATATGCGTGCTAGTCTATCTGGCATCATGTACCATCTATATTGTATCTTCCGCATAAGTTCTAGATGGGAGGCACAGCTCGATCTACCCCTGTGTGCCACAAACACTCATTTATCTAATGTCTGGTTTAGGTCATTCTGCCAGTCGAGTCTCATTTGTCCTGTGACTCTTTCTGCGGGTCAATTAGTACTCAGTATGTGGAGGAGAGTACTTTTTTCGGGACAGTGGGAGTTAAGAACGCTTTCTCAAAATAGGACATGATAGGTGTGGATGTTTGTATTGGATGTTGTGTGAGTTCTGCTTTGATTTGTAGATAAGAGAACAACACTCTGGACGGTAGATTAAACTTCCCATGGTAGTCTGGAAACGTCAAAAAGCTGTCCTATAGTGGAGCAGCCACCGGACCACCAGGGTTTAAAGTCAAAGGAGGGGTTAATTACGTGTAAGCCTTTTATAGGTGTGGCAAGGTACCACGAGTGTTCTGACCCATATTGTTTTTTCAAGTTATTCCACGTGAGGAGAAGTAGTGCTGTGTTACTGAGTATATTTGGCATCTGGGGTCGTTTGAGACGTGGTATCCAAAACCGGTATTTCAAGTCCAAAAACACTCAATCTCGATCCACTGTGGGGGGTTGACCATTGCGTGGGAGAGTATTACAGAGGAAAGCAGCGAGCTTTATAGTATCCTTTAATGTCAGGCAAGCCCAATCCACTGTGTGTGACTTTACGGTTGCCCCATATAAAACGCATCAAAAGGGTTTATAACTTATCTAGGTCTTGGGTATATAAATTTGTAGTGCTCTAAGTACCGGTAAGTACTGGAATTTGGGAAATATGGACATTTTTACTGCCGCCAGTCTCCCCAACCATGTCAAGAATTTTGCATCCCAGTCTTTTAATGTATTCGTTATCTCTCTCAATAGCGATTCATAGTTGTGTTTCAGGAGGTTCGCCTGATTCTTTGTTAGTTTAAGCCCCAGTAATGTGATGAAGTCCGATCTCCAATCCAAAAAGAAGGAAGCGCGAAGCGCTTGTACCTTCGTTTCTGGTATGCCCAGCCCTAGTGCTTGTGACTTGGTTACATTTAATTTGTAATAAGATAGTTTGCCGTATTCCATTATTGTCTGTAATAGATTTGGGAGGGAAACCCTGGGCTGCATCAGAGTCAGTAGCGCATCGTCTGCAAATAAATTTGTCTTATATTCCCGTCCCCCTATCTGGATGCCGTGGACGGAAGTGTGGCTTCTAATCTTCTGTGCTAAAGGTTCTAAGGCCAGAACATTTAGCAGAGGAGCCAGTGGGCAGCCCTGTCTCGTCGGATTTGTTATTGTAAAGGGGTTAGACAGAAAACCAACATTGAGCACATGCAGCGTCGATTAGTGATGTCCCGAACGGTTCGCCGCGGACTCCAGTCAGCAGACACATTCCAGCCAATCAGCAGCAGACCCTCCCACCTCCTGGACAGCATCCATTTTGAAGCTGCATTCTTAGTGAGCTGTCCAGGAGGTGGGAGGGTCTGGGAGGAAGGGTCTGCTGCTGATTGGCTGGAATGTGTCTGCTGACTGGAGTCCGCGGCGACCCGGTCGGGACATCACTAGCGTCAATGTGCATACAAGGCTCTCACCACTGACAGGATCCCTGGAATGCCAAATTTTAACAGCACTGCTTCTCTAGGAACCAACAATGCAGATGGTCAAAGGCCTTTGCCGCATCAAGGGACACCAACAATCCCACCTCGCCTTCAATCTAGCGGCTAAGAGGTTACTCGTCTTGTTCCCTTGAGCATAAAAGTTGGCTTTGAGGCGTTTAAGCTGATATCCGGTGACCTGGAGTGCATGTTGGTGAATTATTCTTGTCAGGGTCAGGATATGGCTTTTAAGGGATGGAGATGGTGTTAGTTGGTTTTGCACATTTAGCGTATAAAAGTCTTTTTGCCAGTGCTTCAGTTGTGCATGAGACTGTTTACATAGTGCAGCAGCTCTTTGTATATAAATTCCCCTTACCACTGTTTTGTGTGCTTGCCATAACGTGTTTATAGATACCTCAGGGGTCTCATCTATGAAATCATTTCAAAGGGTCTCATTTATTCTGCCTGTAAACTCCTTGTTTTGTAATAGTCATTCAGTCTCCACGGACTCAGATGCTTAAAATCATATAAGTTCTTGACTTGCAAGGTGACCGGAGCATGGTCTGACCACGTGAGTTGGGGAATTTCACAGCATTCAATTTGGTTAAGGTGTGATCCTGACACGAAAAATTTATCGAGACGTGAATATGAGTTGTGTATATGTGAGAAGTAGGTATAAGACTTTTCCGTCTCGTGGGAGGCTCTCCATGCGTCATAGTAATGATGCAGGAAAATACGTTTTTGCTGCGCTCTACACTGTCTTTTGAGGGCACCAGATCTAGCTTTTTGTGGGGAAAGGGTAGTTTCTAATGCTGGGTCAAAGATATCGTTAAAATCCCAACATAAGATTGTGATCCGTGTACATCATGTCGTTAATACAGCCTACTAAAATAAGGAATTGTCCATTTGTGTCATTGTCTTGGGAGTGTGCCTGAAAGGATACGTTCTTGCTGATAAGTATGGATGTACCGTTTGACTTAGTAGAAAAAGTTGAATGAAATTGTATAGGATAGTCCCTGGACAATAAGGGAGTCTTATGTGCAG